TCTTGTTGCTGTCAAACAGTCTTTTGTGAAACTGAATTAAAGACTTTATAGGGAATTGAATAGCTTCCTGTGAAGAAGGGAAGGAATCTTCCAGTATTTTAAATATGTGACAGAATACACAGAGTTCTGTGTATAATCAGGCTTTCATCTGTATCCTCATATGAGTTGAAAAAAAAAATTGGCAAAGAGTTTTTAAGGTAAGTTCTGAAATGATGTATTCTTTTGGTGATCAGAAATGAATTGTTACTTTAAATGTCTATGAAACAAGTCTCTAGTGAGACTTTCAGAAGATTTTCAGTGACACAGCCTCCTTCTAAATGTGTTTCATAAGACTTACAGCTGAAATCCTGCTGCCTCATAGGAACATGGGTTTTCATTTTTTCAGATGTCTTGTTGTTCTACGTGAGTGTTCAGATCGAGCACACTTCTATGTGCTCTAAAAGTAAATGCATTAGGACTAAAAGGTCTGTTGTCAAAATTTTTATAATACTCTGAGCAGCAAGTTCTTTACCAAAGGTTAGAGATCCTGAAGTTGCCATGTCTGTGGAGGAGAGGTTGGTTCTTTTTTAAAATAGCATCTACTGTGGAAACTCTTGGTAGAGGCAAGTCTGCAGGAACGCAGAGCTGAGTGTTAGGAGACTGGCAGAGGCCAGCTACAGGATGAGGCTCTGTAGCTGAAGCGATGCTACAGCCAGTGCTAGTCGGGATTGGGTTTGTGCACAGAGCTCCATCGGGAACATTGCTCTGAGTCTTGCTTGGACTTCAAATTGATCAATTGGAGCATAAAATTTCCTCAGAAGACAAACTTGAGAGCAAAAAGAATTGGGAGAAATTATAAAAGGCACCACATAGGCAAAGAGAAACTTCTGAGTATGTTTTTTTTGCCTGACCATGTGCAAGAAATGGTATAACTCTTCACTGGGATCTGTGGCTTAACTGAAGGCGAATATAGTACCCCATCATGCTGGGTTCTCCTAGTTATCCCTGTGTAGGCAATATTCTGTAAAATTAACCTGTTCATCCCATTTCTGGATGCTTTGGGTTGAAGAATTACTGAGTTTGTGGGAGAAATTTGAAAGCAGAGTCAGGTGTGGGAGACAAGTGGAAGGACATTTTCCAGGTTTGTCTCAGAGCACTAGTTCTTGTCACATGTTTGTAGATAGATTCATAATTCTTCCCACTGTATGTTGGACAAAATAGCAACCGCAGAATGAAAGATGTTCAGTAAAAGTTAGTTGTCAACAAGCCATTTATTCAAAATAATGCTTTCGTTGTGGTGGAAGTGAAAGTTTGTTACCTTGCAATGCCATTACTGTGCTCACTTTAAAAACGTACCGTTACAGTTTTTATTTTCAAGAATCCATAAAACTTGTTTGGAGGATTGGTGACAACCTGGGTTCTGTTTGTTTTCTTGAAAGAAATTTTATCTGGATTCAGAAGAGTTGTAGACCTACTTTTATTTTTCAGATTGGCCAAAATATGGGAAAGCTTGTGGATTTTGTAAAAGCTTAATAGTGATTATTTAAAACTTTTGATCCCATTCTGACTTACTGAGTAACCTCTCCTATTTCGGTTAAGGTTAATTCTGTATGACCGCATGATCAGGTCGTACATTCTTAAGACTTACTATGGCTGTGACTGTTTGATGAGTAAATATAGTATACTATAGAACTCAACAAATCTTTCCCCTAAGATTTTTAGGCTCTCTGGAGCTTGGAAAAGTATTTTCTGATGAAGAAGAAAGTTTTCTGTGAGAAAGTCGAAACTAATGTAATTTTTTTTAAAAAAGGAAAAGAAAAAAAAAATAATGTATTTTTTCTTTACTACCCTTTTTCGAACTGTGTTTTGTTTTCTTCCACTCAGAAATGTGTATGTTTCTTTGAAGAGGTGTGAATGCTGAAGACAGAACACCTTAAACAAATGAGGAGTGTGATGTTTAGCAGCTACCACTGTTGGTATCTCTGGAAACCAAACTAGTGTTATAGAAGACTAAATGTAGGCATCTAACTTTGCAAATGCTTGGGAGACATGGTGTTTATACACAACTTTCCTCTATAACTTAATATGCCTGGCTAAGAAACCTTGTATTGAGATTCTGCTGTAGCTTTCATCAGGGATTACAATGAATTTAGTTCCAATACAAACTTAATTTTCAAGTTCTCATAACGTCTAAGTTTCCATATTTAGATATTTTGGTGTTAGCTTAAATATACCTGACATTGTAAATGGTGCATATAAGTGAGTGATTATATCTCTGTTATAGTGTTTATGGCTATGAATTTCACTCTTGGTTCACTTATACTCTTTGCATGTCCAAATACTGCACAAGGAGGGAGTTTTCTTATGATTTTTAAATAGTATTAAGTTCCCACTTCAAAATAAAATCAATATTGAAGTAAGAATCTGGGCCTCTAAAACCTTGACAGAAAAGAGATTCTATTTAGACTGGTCAATCCACTCCATTTTTTATATTCTTCTGTACCTACTGAGAGATTACAGACTCAGAATCCATTCAGACAATATTTAGTTACTCAGTGATACTAAAATGTATTTATTTTGCTGTTCAGTTTTCCTTAGTAAATTTATGTTCTATTTCTCAGTTAAATTATCTGTCCTCAACTCTAGAGCTGTCATAACTTCTTGATAAATGTGAACTAATGGTAAGCTGCAAAGAGCTTTTTAAAATTCTTTAAAGATATTTTTTACCTATTGCGGTGCTTTTATATTAGAAATCCAAATCTTAGCTAACTCTCTGTTTTTCAAGAGACTCTTCTGAAAGAAGTATGACCATCTCCCAGACAGGTGAATGGCCATTTCTAGAGACGGGGTTAGCAGACACAGAGTCAGACTGGATAAGAGTTTGAAAGGATTTGTTCTTAGTTTAGGTGGGGGCAAAAGCAAAATGGAGTTTAAGCACAGTCTGAGCGTCTGCTTTGTCCAAAGGTGAAAAATGGAAAAGCTGATGTTCACATTCATATTGCCACTGCCCCATTTTTGTGAGAATTCTTTAACTGACAAAAAAAATTGGGGGGAAGGAGAGAAGCATTAGGAAGAAAGGTGAGTATTTGTGATGTCTGATAGTTTTAAGAAAGAAGAAAATACATGTTCTGGTTCTTTAGAAAATTGAAAGTGACAGGTTCTGAATTTATACTTAGTATATCAGAAAGAGCAGTGAAAGATCAGGATGGCAGTTTTTCCCTAGTGATTCTTTCATTAGTTTTTGCATTCACTTTTTTTTGCTACGAAATTTAAGACTGATGAATGGCAAGATCTACCAATTCCTTGTCACATTGCTAGGCTTCTCGTGTTGATATTTCTTCCAGCATTCAAGCAGTCTTCATTCTTACCTGATCTCCATTCACTCTCTTTCTTTACTACCCTGTGGTTCGAAAAGCATCTCCTGTTGTATACTTTCTTTTCTCCACATGTTTTGCTTCTCCTAGTCCTGTTCCTTAACAAGGTATTGAGAGCTTGGGTAAAAACTTGATTTCAATTCAATATTTTAATGAATGTTAGTATGGCAGGTTTTTTTCAGTTTTAAAGTATAGGCCTGCTTTAGTAGGGTATAACATCGTTACGAAAGTCTGCTTATTTCTGTCACTGCGAATATTGACTTGCAGTGGCATTTGTAAATAGTAATTCCGTTGTGTAGTAGAAAGCAAATGGTGGAAGTTGTTTATGGCAACATCTACTTTTTGCTTATAGTTCAAGTTGGCTTTTTTCAGTAAAAGGCAGTGTATCTATCATTTGTCACACAAATCCATATTTAGGAGGAGCAGAAAAGGGAGCAAAATAGTGTTGCATGTGGTCTACAATTTGTGCTAACCTGTGGGGGAAAACAGTATTGTACATCATCTGCCGTTTGTGTTAACCTTTACTGTCACAATAGCTAGTTAGATAGTCTGTCTTTTGCTGATAATTATGATCCTTGTTACAGGCAGATGCAACGAAAGCCAGAAGCACCTGCAGTCACCTATGCAACATATCGAGGTTCTGCAAGGATTAGGCAGCTACTGAAGAATCAGTCAGAAATGGCTGAAAAAGGAGAAGAAAGTACTGAGAACAGAAATGCTTCAACATTCAAAGAAAATGGAGAAATCCAAACAACTGTCTCTCCAAAATCAGGACACTTAATAAAAGAAAATGGAGAAAAGGAGGGTAAAGATCACGAAGATGGTGTCATAGTAAATTCTTCTGCTTTTAAAATCAAAACAAAAAAATCTGGTGAAGCTCAGTGTTGCTTGGATAGCAGTAAACATGAAATAACTGGAAAGGCCACAACTTCATCTACTGGATCGTCTCATGAGATAGGCTTAAGACATACACCTGCTTTAGCAGCAACAAAAGTTAAAAGGACGCATTCACTAGATTCATTATTATCATCTAGTAGTAGAAACAGTGAGATCCTAACCCATTCCACCTCCCAGATTACCAATTCCCTTAAAATGAGTTCTGCAAATGATTTGGTTAGAAAACAAGTCGGACTGCTGGGAGAAGAAAAAGCTCTGTTTCAGGCAGACAAAAATGCCACTTCTAACTTTGATAAAGATAATCATTGTAGTATAGCAGCTAGCAAGGAGTCCACAAAAGAGATGCAGGAGGATTGTTTACATTCACCCAAATCAAAAAATAAGAGAGTTAATGAAGAACCACAGGTGAGTAAGGGAGAATATTGCTGTAATCATCAAATGGATGGTCACTCGGAGCTAACATCAGATGTCCAGCTGCTTCATTCCAGTACCACTACATTTCAGCAGCAAGCAGATCAGCATACAGGTAGTGCAAATAAAGACAGTCATCCAAGAAAAAGCGATACGCAGAAAATTGTGGCAGCTGTAGAAAGAGAGCAAAATCCACAAACTTTTCCTGCTACTGCACTTTTACCTTTTAATGAACAAATACCCACTTCACTCAGTGTGGTGTCCGGAGGAGAAAAACACATAGCCACAGGTAATCTAACTGCTTCAGTGTCATCTATTAAAAATTATGAAGATATAGTCATGGACACGGGGACTTGTAATGAAGAACTGAGTGAGTCAGGGAAACCAATGGATGTACAAAATGAACACCAGTTAATCCTTGTGGAGAGTTCTAAGGATGCTGCCACACCACAGACTGATTTACCTTGTCTAGAAACTGAGGGTGTGGAAACAATGAAGGTTTTATCTGAGGTTGCAGTGGAAAACCTTGCCAATGTATCAGCATGTATACATGGGTGTGAGAGTGTGAAATCTGACTTTGATGGGCTGACAGCACCTCACTCTGTTACTTACGAGTCTTCTTTTGACACTGAAGGCTGTTGGTCAGCTTCTCTTCGTCCTAGTTGTAAGACTGAAAATAAAACTGTAGGAAAAAGAAAAGACAAATCAAAAGACGTGAGAGAGACTGTTTCTTGTCCTGATCTTGAGTGTGAGAAGAGCAAATCCTTTGAGCCTGCGCAGATGAGCCTCTTGGAAAGCTCAGTTCCTGTCCACAGCTGTGGTCCTGTTTCCCTTGAAACTGTTCAAGACATTCCTCCCAGGGCATTAGTTGTACTCACAGAAGATAACACAGCAAAGCCTGCACCTTGGCCTTTAATCAGCATTGACAGGACAGATGATCATACTCCTTCTGCTTCTAAAATTGACAAGGCTAGTATGACTGAGGTTGCTCTTGTTCCTTCTGAGTGCAAGGATTGTGTCTCTGAACTTTCCTCTCATATTTCTAAGTCACAAAAAAACATTCTGGACATTTCTCATTCTGCCCTGAGATACAGAGAAAGACCTTTGACCAACTGTTCTGCTTTTGTCTGTGAAAAAGACGGTGTAGACATAATTACTGAATCTCCACCTGCTTCTGAAGATAGGCATATTAATTTTTCTTCCCAGAAGGAAAACAGTAATAAGCTTAGGATATCACGCACAGTACTTGATTCTTCATCTGACAACCAAGGAAAAATGCCTTCTTCTGCCACTAACTCTGAAAATGGCCAGATTGATAGATGGTCTGCTGCTTCTGAACAGGACAGCTTTATTCTTCCAGCTGCTGATTTTAGGAGAATAATCCCTGAGGACAGAGTGCCAGAGTTGCCACTTTGCCTAGGAGATCCAAGAGCTTCATGCGTGGCTGGTTCCCTGGAACATGAGCTTACTCTGGCTATGCTTGGTCACTCTGCTGCTGGAGTAGATGTGGGGGGTGTTTGCATCCCCAGAGCCTCTTCACCTACTCTGGGATCCAGAGAAGCCTCCAACCTTTCTGTTTCTGCCTTGGAAATATTGGGTGTTGCTCAGGGGAACATTTATTCCTCCAGTCACAGAGCTGGCGGTGCGGCAGAGGAGGCCTCCTCTGCACAACAGGCTGATGATGGTGTCTCGGCAGAGGCAACACCGTCACCTGTCTGTCCTTTGAAGTCTTTGGAAATGACATCTGAGTCAGGCTCCACTGACAGCGTGTGCAGAAATGCTGTTAATCTTGGTAACCATGCTTCTGCTATCTCAGAGGCCCCTTCTGTGACAGATGATCAAACAGCTGCTGCACCTGCAAAGTCAAATGAGCTCTGTTCTGAGGAAGTATGGGAAGATACTGGTGTGAAGGCACAAGAATGTGCTGAATTCCAAGATGCTGCTGTTTTGTTTAAAAAGGCTGAGGAAATAGTGGACTCAGTTTTACACTTGGCTATAGAAGAAATAATAGCAAAACAAGCCATCGGTGTCTGCCAGCTTTGTGGGAGCAAAGATGGTTTAATAAATACGGATATTCTAAATGATCGGAAAGCTGGAACTGTACAGCTGGAAGCAGAAGAAATCCAGTCAGCTGTGCAGTCGTTAAAACATTTTAATGAAAGCAGTGCAGGAGGCTCATCTTCATTTACAGGAAATGAAATGGTGGATACAAATAAGCAAGATAAAAAGATACTATCTTGCGTCCCTGATAAAATTGACCTACATAGTGCACTAGCACTAAAAGCAAAAGAAATAATTGATGAAGTGATTAACTCAGCCAAACAAAAGCTGGCATCTAATCAGTGGCAAGCCAGTGAGAGTAAAAGGCCTTCTGAAAAGGTTGAGCCTAAACCTGAGGCTGGAACACCAAATATTTCAAACCTGAATATGAAGTTACCTGCCAAAACACAAGAAGCAACAGAGAAGGAGGAAATTTGGAGGGAAACTGTAAACTGTGAAAGGGCAGATTGCTCAGGTCCTCTTTTGCTTCCAAATAGTATGGAAAATGGCATAGATTGGCCTCAAAGATGTGAAAAGATAACAAATAATGCATTTACCCATCAGACAAATGGATTTCTACCCACTTGTAGTTCGGCAAGGCCAGAATCAGATCTTATGACACCAACAGAAGAGAGACACGATAGAAAGGTGTGTGAACATGTGGCTGCAGCAGAGATGTATGGCAAAGCTGGAGCATCAGCAACTGGTAGAAAATCTGATAAATCTTTACATTTAATACGTAGAGACGCTACTGTGAATGAGGAGATGCTTTTATCATTGCAGTTAAAAGATTCATGCAATAGCACAAATATGCTAGAGTGCACATTGCTGCCAACTGTAAACGCTAATTTGTCACTTTTTGTGCCTGATGAAGAATGTATTAGCATGCAGAGTGAATCCAAAGAAAAAAGCAGTCCTCGGGGTTCTCTGGAAAGCAATGCAGAGGACAGTCTGTATGAACACTGTGGAAGACAGGCTGCAGAAGTACTTGCACAAGTAAAAACAACCTTAGAAGACTCAAAGGCAATGGAGAGTAAAGAGAAACTAGCAGAAGGGGCAAGTGAGATAGCAGAGGTTAACATTGGATTAAATACACAATGTATTGTACCTGAATTATGTGTTATTCAAGAGGACTGTGAAGGGACAAACTACTCCAACACAGTCTTTGCCCAAAATAATGAGAATCTGAAGCAGGTACAAATAAAGGATCAGGACATGAAGGGAAATGATCAGCTTGAAGAAAATGGTCTGGACTGCAGCAATGACATGAAGGAATCGATGGATCTTTTGTCCTTTTCTCCTCTAATTGAACAGTGGGAAAACAATTCTTTTACTATCATTTATGAAGGTACCCTTCAAACTGAGAACAAATCTGTCTCAACTGATGATCTGCAAACTGGTTCACTTTCTACTTCTGATCTGCCTACAGATAATATAGATCATCTAATCTGTGAAAGAGCAATGGATAAACATGAGCCAGCCTGTCTTTATGGGAAAGATAACAAATTGAATGAAGCAACAGATAGCCGTAGCTTGGAGTCATTTCTGAGTGTAGAGGCCAAGCGCTGTAGAGTATATCCCTTCTCTTTGTCTCCAATATACGAAGACGACAGCTCCCAAGAAGACTTACTTTCCACGGACGTGTCTCCAGAATGCTATCATAGTGGAATATCTAAAGATAACACTGACCACGCTTCTGTGCTTTCCCTTCTCCAGTCCGTTTCTGAGCGCTTACAGTTTACTACTCGCTTCAGTAAAGAGGAGGAAGAAGAGGGAGCAGAGGATGAGGAGGATGAAGAATTATCATATGAAGAAAATATGTTTGAAGTTGAGAGAGAAGATGACTGTCTTTCCAGTCAGTGGAGAGGGAATTTAAAAACAAGCCTTCAGTCAAATGACCAGAATAGGTCTTTGTTTCCTGAACAGTCACCTTTTCTTTCAAAAGAACAACTTGACTCTCAGGAGCAACCAGAACTCTTGCCAGATGCAGCTTCTCCCAGTCAAGCACCTTGTATGCCAGTTTCACAGAAAGCTGATGTTGCTGTAAAAAGTCCTCCTACAAGTGTGTACTACCAGTATTTGAGATCTGCCAGCAATTGCTCCTCTGAGAAGGGGACCAGGTATGGAAGCATTCTCCAGGATATGTTGCAGCCCAAGATTCATTGGTCTCAAGAGAACACCATGCCAAAACTAGGAGAATTGTCAGTGGTAAGATGTCATGTCCTGTAATATTAATAATCAAAGTGATTAGCCCCGATTAAAAATTGATGTCTCCCTATTCTCCTTCCACCCCTTTTAAGGTTAATTCTTTTATCGTAAACAAAAGTAATTAAGCTGTTTAAGATCACAGGTTAAAAAAAAGAGTCTTCTGATAAAATAATTTTTAAAATGTATTCTTGGTTCAGCACACAGATGAAAGTGACTTAATTGTAAAACAGAAGATGTGAACAGAAAATATAATAGGAAAATATGAATAACAGCAAGTCTGTTTAATAGCAAAACACAGACTTGTACATGTTAAGGACATTTCAACCTAAAGGTGATGGAATTGCCTTTTGTATGAAAATTGTTCTTTCATTTCTTCCACTTCTGAGATTAGTAGAACTGTATTGTCCACAAAATATAAGTATCTGCTTACTGGGCTATTTGATTGTTTTCATCATAGTCTTCTACAAATCGTAGCTCAGTTAGCAAGTAAGTAATAGAGCTGCTTCTGGAAATTAGCATTTATTTTTTAATTTATTTAAAGCAGTGACAGATGAAGGTGTGGAAACAGTTCTTCCAATATTTAGAAATTAAAAATGCTGCATAGACCAAATGCGTAAATGAAGAAAAAAAGTTTTTCCATGGTATTGGGAATATTTCGGTATGTGTTAGAGGTCTCTTGGGTTTGGCACCTTTAAGGCATGCCGTTTATTGTTTGCTGGGAAAGGGTAATACATTTCAAGAAGTTATAACTTTCATAATAGTTCGTTCTTTCTATCAGTTGCCTCTTTCTGGTGATCATTTGATACTGTTAAACTATTTACACCAACTCTGAACGACAGTGAAACAAACCTTGGTTCTTCTGCTAGTGACAGTTGCATACATTTGTAGGAAGAGTGGACCGAGAATAACCTGTCTATGCTTTGTGCTACTGTTGTAGATGGTTACAGTTGTTTTCCATGTCCTTTTAATTTCAGAACCTCATTGACAGGGCGAGTCTCAAATACAATCCAAGACCAGGAAAGGTAAGGAGAATTTGTGTCACATAGATCAGTAAGATAACAGAAAAATTTGTTATACCAAAATGTTTGAATGGAAAGCATCTGAAGTTGTTACTCTGGTTTTCTGTATTTTAATGGTGCACGTGCTTGCACACGCTAATAACGAGATTGTATTATTAAAAATCCTGCTACTAGTAATTTTTCTGTCTTGCTGTCAGTGACTGCTGGTGTAGTTCAGTGGAGTGTTTCATAAAGGAGTAAAATGTGTAGCATATTGGTTGAGTGGGCACAAAGTGAAATAGGTTTCATTCCAAGAAAAAAATTACTGTCTACACTGTGTGTTGAAATGGGCCCTCATTTGTATGCATTGTGTGTTGTTTCAGATTATTATTTATGATATTCATGGCAACAAAAGTAAAAAAGAAGTTCATTCTGATGTGCTAGATACCACGTCCTGGATCTTTCCCATTGGAGGATTACTTAGGATAATTAGAGGATGGTAAGACATGTGGGTCATATTTAAATAAAGTATTTTCAAAAGGTTGTATATGTGTTTCTATTGTATTTTCATGTCTTTTATTTATTACACACATCTGATTTGCAAGAGTGTCTTTTTCTTTCTTTATAATCAGACTGATACCAATTAAAAAAGCATGAAACAAGGCTTCAAAAGCTGCAGTACAAAAAAAAAAAAAATTGTTCCTCCTGGGAACTAGCTTCAAACAGAAAGTTTCTAATAGAACCACAAGTAAGTTTAGATTTCAGGCACGAAGTGCTGAGACAGTACAGCCGTGATCATCACTAGAAACACATGTATGCCAAAGATTTGGTTTTTTTCTTTTACCATTCAGTTTCATTATACAGTAGTTGTTGCAAAAGGACCATAAAATTAACAATCTCAGCTGCTGTTTGTAATGTAGCATTTAGAGGAATGTGGATGCAGAAGGATATACAAGTACCTTTAAAGGTACATTCTGCAAGTATTTCTCAGTTTGCTTTGGGAAGCTGGGGCTGGGACCATATCAGTTGTTGCACTGGAATTTAATTGGTGGCACTTACAGCGAATGGTTCTGACTGTCAGCCATAGTAACAATGCATGTCACATTTTTGCAGTTTTGAGGCAGCCTTGTTTGGCTTTGCAGACATGTCTTTCACGTCCTAAGAAATACTGAATTCCATTATTAGTATGTATATGTTTTATGCCTTGCATAGTATCTGCCTGAATAGGACACGTTTTGTTGTGTCAATTAATATATTTGTTCTGGTAAAATAAGGCTTTTTACTTACATTGTATTTTAGCTGTATTTTTGTGCAGTTAATATTTTAAGTTTTGTTAGGCTACGTCCTGAAGGAGAACTGTATTTTACTTTTAAAGCGCAGAAGTACAAGCTCTGTATCTATCTAAAGTGAATGTGACTACTGAGGGATAGCATAAGTAAGGTCTAATTGATAAGGCTTGATAAGAAGAGCTCATTACTGATATTTCCAGCAAATGTGCTGTATAAGGACAGTCTTGCCTAACAGCAGCAACTCAGTTTATGATATCATTATTACAGTTGGATTTTTTACGAGAAACCAAAGTTCCAGGGTCGGAAGTATGTACTAGAAGAAGGAGAGACTGTGTTAGATCACCTTTGGGATCTCCCAGGCGTGAAACATCGTCGAAGAAACCTCACAGTTGGTTCAATCAAACATGTAACAAAGGTATAGACTTTGTTAATAATATACTCGCATACATAAGTAATTTCTGTTGGCAATAGTGCTGTATTACTAGCAGCGGAAAATGTGTATATGCTGTGTTTCTGATTTTATTCAAATTTGCTATGAATCACATTTTTTACGTTGAAGATAAATTCCTGGGCTTTTGCTGTGCTAAATTTCCCTTTCTTCCTGGAGGTAATGAGCAGATGGATTATTTTTCTTTGCCACCACTTTAACATGACACAGTGATTCCCCTCCTTTTAGATGTTTACCTGTCCAGTTAATTGAAATTAATATTTTTAATTTATCTTTATTTTAAGCTCAAACCATCTAGTGTGTCTGTATGGCTTCTGTTTCAGAAGTTAGCAGTTGGGTTTCCGATCCCATTTGTACAGCATAGCCTCCAAAAATTTCTGTCGCTCCCTCTACAGCTTTGTGCTATCTGTACGTGTTCCATGTGGTACACCTACACCATGTGGCTCTCCTTACAGCCAGAAGTTTAAAAGGCATTTTGTTGAAAAAATAGAAATCAAATGCCTGAAACTAAGTATAATGCATGCATTGCTATTCAGCGAATGAGGAATACATTTAGCAGACTGTGTGGTTTAAGAAGACTTAGTGCTCTTTTTGTTTAGCATAACATTCCAGTTATTCACAGGGCAATGGCCCTTTACTGCAAGTGAATTATCGTTTGTATCGCAATGTGAAAGCTTTTCAGAAAAAATGGTGTTTTCTCTGTTCTTTGCTGTTACAGTTTTAAAATTGGTAACATTTTTTTCATCAGTACAGGGGCATAATGTCATAACAATTAGAAATACTTTTTAATTCTCTTGTTAAGACTTAACAATAAAGAAAGAAATTCAAGAGAGGCTGGCCAAGGACATGAATAATGAAGCTAACATTTATTTGAATTAAAGAAATTAAAAGCATTTGACCACTATGGAATATGAATATTGATCAATAATGTGGAAGGCAGCTAAAGAGTTATAGAAATACTACAGTAATGTGGAACTATGGTCTGAAGCCAAGGGAAGCTGGGTGTGTCTTGGGTATCAAAGAAAAGCCTTGGATAGGAAAGACAACTGTGGTTACTGTCTTCATGCTTCATGAAAATCTTTGTAATACAGCTAAGTAAGTTTGAGCATTGGACTTCCAGTATGTGGTTCCTTTGTATGGAACACAGATGGAAAGCTTTGTTACAGTACAGTAGTTTCTTGTGTAACTTAAACCTCTGGCAGGTGTGGTTGGTTGGGAGGACTTTTGCTGTTACTCCATAGGGCTGTATGGAACCAGTGTGGGTGACAAATTCAGTTAAGCTGGGTTTTGTCCTCTAAACCTTGATGCGTGAAAGCATCCCTCTTTTTTCAGGTTATACTTCAGCTACTGTACAACTACTTTTAGAAGGTAGTTTGCCAAAGTGCTACTTTATTTATTTATTTATTTATTGTGAAAAATACAGGCATTGTTTTTAGTTGACAAATAGCTGTTTCTTTTTCAGGCAGCTCATGTGTATGTGATCTGTAGGGTCACATGTTTTACTGTCATTCTCTTTTTCATAGGCTGAGTAGCTTAGTGGCTTTTCTCCTGCCTAGTTTGGTCATACTTGCTGTGTATCCAGGCTGTCTGGCTTGTCTTCTAATTCAAGTGGCTTTTTATGGTGCTTCTTTAATGGCTGCTCAGATGCTTTGAGTTAGCAGATTTGAAAATTGACTAAATATTTGAGAAGAAAATGGCTTGCCAAGAAGAGGAAAAACAGATGTTTACTAAAGAAGCTGTAGGAGGTACATTTAATATTTTTATTTTTTACTGGCAGATGTTAGTTTGCTGAGAAACAGTCTGCAAGTAGCTTCATCCTCTGATTTGGCTTCAAGCCTCCACAAAAAGCAAAGGTTCTGTTAGCTTTGTTGTTAGCCTGTGGCTTGACTTACTGCAGATACACATTAGATGTATCCGTATGCGTTTAATCTGAAGGAATTTAGGAGGGGGAAAAAAGATCCCAAAGGAACAGATTGTGCAACTAGTAAAATGACCTATTTGAAGTAACAGGGCGTCTGAATTCCACTAAGGCAAGTCGACATGAGCCTAAGGTAGCAAAATCTGCGTGCATACGCAGGTTCAATGCAGCTCCTGGAGCATGATCTGTTTACCCAAGTCAGTTCTCTGGTCTTCTGCAATTGCCTATATTGATCTTATGGAATTGGAGGGCTTTTTGTATCTGTTTCTGGAAGCCCAAAGAGGGTGCTAAATTTTACTTTCCCAAAAACAAGAGTTGATCAGAGTTGCTGATGTTTCCATTTGGGAGTAATCGTGTAAACCACTATCTTGCAAGGTGACAAGAGATCCGAAACAGCAGTTTGTAATCTCTGTCTGCAAGATGGTTAGGCAGGGAATACCTGTGGCCTCTCCTTAAGCAAATCTCTTTGTAATGGGCAAGTTCCCAGTATTACATAAAGGATGTGTTTCTTTTGTTTGTGTAGTTTACTAGGTGAAAAGAAGTTATTAATTCAACTGCTTTATCAGATGCCATAGGAAGGCACCTAGCAGCTTCAGGTTGTCTCGTTTGCTAGTTGGTATTTACAGGACAGTAATCATTAATGTCCTTAATAGTCTTATTTTCCTACCAGCCCCGCTGAGTTCTATAGTTTGGTTTGATGGTGATGGGTGGTAGCAAGGGTGGTACCGAGCAGGAGAACTGGGAGAAAGAATTATGAATGGGTAAAAAAAAACCTGGAGGACCAGTGGAGAATAAGATCTAAAAAAAAAAATCTTCAGTAGTTGACATGTCCTAAGGATAAATTGTGTATCAAAAGTAAGATGCACATTTAGGCTGTATTAACAATCGTGTGAATACCAGAACTGAGTAGGCCTGGTTTTCAACAGACTCTTCTCTCATCATTGTTTTAACATTTAGCTTAAGAAGCCAGACATTAGTCATTCTTTGTCCTGTTGTTGACATAAAAGGCTACCTCATTTAAATAGGCTGTTTTGATAACTTCAGTCACCACAGCTTATAGCTCCAAGGAGAAGACCTAACAGTGCTGAAATTATTTAGCCTTGCTGGTGCTGTAACCCTAGATTCAGAAGAAGAGTAAACAGCCAAGACTGCCTTGAGGAGATTAAAGGCTCTGGATCTCTCACTTATGCTGGAGCTCTTGGTCAGACTAGAAAAATGTCAGAGATGCCAATAAAAAGTAATATTTAATGCTAAGGTGCTGAGGGTTGTCTTAACTCTCTCTGGAAGAAGCCTTAACCTTTCTGCTGAGGGGCACATTGCTGTTCTGGAAATGTCTGTTCCCACAACTACTCCCCATGCTTTTGTACACATCTCTGCTCCCAAAAGACCATGAGGGAAACACAGGCACTCCAGGACAACTGTGTGGAGGCAGGAGGAAAGTACCAGAGTAAAGGGAGTAAAGGAAGACAAGAGCGGGATGCCTGGAGACTGTGACCTACCTAAGCATTTGCTGGTTGTGTATTATCATTGGAAATGAACACAACTACCTAATCTGTTTGCTGTGCTTTTTATACTGTTCTTGCCTGACATATCAGTATGATAATGAATATGCCATGAGTTTTGACTGTGTGTGATGGGGGTGGCAGGGCTGCAGGGTATAGAGAGGAAACTTTCCAGTTTTGGATCTGGTCTGAAACACTGTGGTAATAGTTTTGCATGGTAATAGTTTTGCATGTGGGTATCTTATTTGAAAATCTTGACGCCTTGCAAATGAAAGGGCTTCAGACTGAAGGATCTAGTTCTCAACCTGAATGCTATCGTATTTGTGTGGTTTTCATTTTGTTTCTGAAGATGGTGGCTTTATTAGGAATGTTTAAGAAGCCTCTGGAAGTAATGATGCCTATTAAATATGCTCAGGCAAATATGAACATGCCAGCGCAAAATGTTTACCTAGCTAAAGTTTACATGCCTAAATTATGTGAATTAATGACATGGTACTTGTGTGTACATCTGCAAATACATAGTGTTCATCTCATACAGCAATACTAAATTTTACCATTTTCTGCAGTCTGTAAATAATATATGTAAATTGAACTCAATATTAAAGTCAAAATGTACATTTGTGATTTTTAAAATATTCACTTAGAAAATATAATGTTATAAAATATAATATAATTGCTCAGACATGTTATTACCTTTAAAAATAGACATTTTAATTGCTTTTGATTAAGGCCTCAGTTTACTATGTGACACTTCATGAATGGATTTTACAGACTTAATCTCGTACACACAAAAATGCCATTGCAATGAATAGAATATTTTTTATGACTGCCAAAATCTGGCTGGAGAGAGATGGTGATAAGTAGGAGATATTTTATTATGAGTATATGTGCTTTACCTGCCCTTTGGAGAACTGCTACGTTATCACTTGAGGTGGAGCCTGCCTTGTGAGCTTCAGAGTCAGGAAAGCGAACTTGAAAAGAGAATACAGACTGGCTTTTTCCAATTTTCAAATGGAAAAAAAAATGCCTCCTACTGAATTAAAATTAAACGTACTCTGTCTCATATTCTGTCTGAGCCTGCAGGCGAAGATGCTTTATTTTGCTACTTGTCTAGTCTTGTAGGTACTTTGCTTCAGAATTTATCTGAAATCATTAACAGTCTAGCATAATTATTTGTGGAATTATTCTCAGTACAACTTCTGATTTTATGTATTAAGCTACATTATTGGATTCACAGACTTCAGCCATATCATGTATTGGGTATTATTAGAAAAAAAAAAAAAAAAACTTGACCTTTAAATATTTCTTAACTGTGATATAATAAGATTCATATACATGTGAAAATTATGAGGAGACTTTTTTTTTTAAACTTGTCTAGCAATACACTTAGAATTGAGGACTGGTGTTCCTTAGCACTTTGCCATAAAGTAGCATAGTACTAGAAATTATTTTTTCCCAGTTTTTCTGGTTTTGCTAATCTGAAAATAAAAATTCTGGTATTGCAGTTTTTGTTCTGGAAACAAACAGTGTGCATTGTTTGCAAGGTACAATACAGAGGAAACACGATTGTGCATGAGGCAGAGTTGCAAAAACAGCAAACTCTGTTACTTCACATCTCATGGGAAAGTGAAATAATATAGAATCATAGAATGATATGAGTTGGAAGGGACCTTAAAGATCATCTAGTTCCTGCCACCCCGCTATGGGCAGGGACATCTCCCACTAGACCAGGTTGCTCAAAGCCTCATCCAGCCTGGCCTTGAACACCTCCAGGGATGGGGCATCCACAGCTTCCCTGGGCAACCTGTTCCAGTGCCTGACCACCCTCGTGGTGAAATGTTTCCTCCTAAAATCTAATCTAAATCTACTCTCTTTCAGCTTAAATCCATTACCCCTCGTTGTGTGTCTACACTCCCCATCTCTCCTTGAAGTACTGGAAGGCTGCTAGAAGGTCTCCCCAGAGCCTTCTCTAGGCTAAACAACCCCAACTCTCTCAGCCTGTCCTTATACAAGAGGTGCTCCAGCCCTCTGACCATCTTCATGGCCCTCCTCTGGAGTTTCTCCAACAGGTCCATGTCCTTCCTGTGCTGAGGACTCCAGAGCTGGACGCAGTACTCCAGGTGGGGTCTAACAAGAGTGGAGTTGAGGGGGAGAATCACCTCTTCTCAGCCTGCCGGTTGCACTTCTTTTGATGCAACCCAGGACACGATTGGATTTCTGGGCTGCAAGTGCAAGTGCACTGGGTCATGTTCACCTTCTCATCTACCAACACCCCCAAGTCCTCCTCAGGGCTGCTCTCAATCTGTTCTCCTCCCAGCCTGTATTTGTGTTTGGGATTGCCTCGATCCAGGTGCAGGACCTTGCTTGCACTTGGCCTTGTTGAACTTCATGAGGTTTTCAGGGGCCCACTCTCAAGCCTGTCAAGGTCCCTCTGGATGGCATCCCTTCCTTCCGGCGTATCGACCACACTACACAGCTTGGTGTCACTGGCGGACTTGCTGAGGGAACTCAATCCCACTGTCCATGTCTCTGACAAAGATGGTCCCTGGTCCCAATACTGACCCCTGAGGAACGCCACTCATCGCCGGTCTCCGCTTGGACGTTGAGCCATTGACCACAACTCTTTGAGTGCAACCGTGCAGCCAATTTCTTATCCACCAAGTGGCTCTTCCTTCAAATCCCTGTCTCTCCGTTTTAGAGACAAGGATGTTGTGTTGGACAGTGTTAAAGGCTTTGCATAAGTCCAGGTAATTGATGTCAGTTGCTCTTCCCTTATCCTCCAGCGCTGTGACCCCATCATAGAAGGCCACCAAATTTGTCAGGCATGATTTGTCCTTAGGGAAGCCGTGCTGGCTGTCACCAATCACCGCCTTATTTTCTCTGTGCCTTAGCGTAGTTTTCAGGAGTATCTGCTGCATGATCTTGCTGGGCACCAAGGTGAGACTGACCGGCCTGCAGTTCCCCATGTCTTCCTTGTTTCCCTTTTTAAAAATGGGGGTTATGTTTCTCTTTTTCCAGTCAGTGGGAACTCACCAGACTGTCACAACTTCTCCAGTATGATGGTTAGCAGCTTAGCAACTTCATCCACCAGTTCCCACAGGACCTATGGATGCATCTCATCAGGTCCCATTGACTTGTGCACCTTCAGGTTCCTTACATGGTCTCAAACCTGATCTTGTTCTAAAGTGGGTGGTTCTTCATTCTTCCAGTCCCTGCCTTTGCCTTCTGCCATGTGGGCAGTGTGGCTTGAGCACTTGCTGGTGAAGACTGAGGCAAAAAAGTTGTTGAATACCTCAGCTTTCTCCATATCCTGGGGAACCGAGCATCCCATTTCCTTCTGGAGAGGGCTCCCATTTTCCCTAGTCTTCCTTATATCATCGACATACCTATAGAAGCTTTTCTTATTGCCCTTGACGTCCTTGGACAGATTTAATTCTATGAGGGCTTTAGCTTTCCTAATGTGATCCCTGGCTACTCTGAGAATTTATCTGTATTCCCCCCAGGCTACCTGTCCTTGCTTCCAGTTTCTGTAGGCTTCCTTTTTGTGTTTAAGTTTGTCCCAGAGCTCCTTGTTCATCCATGCAGGCCTCCTGGCATTTTTGTCTGACTTTCTCTTTGTTGGGATGCATCACCCCTGAGCCTGGAGGAAGTGATCCTTGAATATTAGCCAGCTTTCTTGGGCCCCTCTTCCCTCCAGGGCTTTATCCCATGGGACTCTACCAAGCAGATCCTTGAAGAGGCCAAAGTCTGCTCTCCTGAAGTCCAGGGTAGTGAGTTTGCTGGTCACTGCAGCCCAGGCTGCCCCTGAGTTTCACATTCCCCACCAGCCCTTCCTTGTTGGTGAGAACAAGGTCTGGCACAGCACGTCTCCTCATTAGCTCCTCTTGTCACTTGGAGAAGGAAGTTATCAATGCAGGAACCCTCCTGGCTTGCTTATGCCCTGCTGTGTTGTCCCTCCAACAGATACCAGGGTAGTTAAAGTCCTCCATGAGGACCAGGGAGTCCTGGAGTCCATCTACTGTAGTTACCACATTTATTGCTGACAGTTAAATAACTACTGAAAGAAGTTTGCTAACTAAGAAGAGTGCAAATGGGCCTGTGGGTCAGGAGGGTAAAGGTGCTGTGAAATCATCACTGAGAACTGAAGGTTTCCAGCTACAGCTGAGCAAACTCCATAAGCACTTGAGCTGCCTTTCACTGTAACAGGAAGACTGCTCTGTAAAGCACTGCCTTGTAGAAGATCCTCATTGATTCATGACATGTTTGAATGCTGGGAAAGTATTGGCAATGCATTTTATATAAATACCATTAAATTAATGTGATTCGATAAAATCCCTGCAAATTCTAGAGAAGGTAATGTGTTCAACAAGTTGTTCTTCAGCATTTTCTATCAGTAGAAAACCTTCATTAAGGTAACAGGTTGTTGTTCCATAATAACAGAATAATTGCTGAAGTGTCGTGCTTAACAAATATTTTCCATTACTGTTGTTTTTCTTTGTCTAAAATGCTGTGAATTTATTTAACATGGCATGAAATTGAACTCATATGGCTAGAAACTGTAGTCAGATGCATTACAGAATGTAATTATCACTGAGTGGGGGAAGCGGGAATGAAGTACTAGGCATTTCTAGAACGTTTCAGTTATCCTTGCATCCTGTGTATCTATATGTGTGTTATGGAAGCGCTGTCTTTAAAAAGAAAAAGTCAGCAGTATTATATCCATGGTTTGTCTATCAGTAAATCCTGTCAGATCCTTTACTTGGAGAGTATTTTTAAAGCTTTTTGAAGGTAGCTTGAAAAAGGCATAAATGCTTAGTGTTTCTGTGAAAGTTAGTGGGAGCTGGAAATCTACTTCCTTTGGCTTTTCTAAAAATCCCGGTATTCATTTAAAAACCTTTTATTGTATGAAGCCCAAAGTTAGGTTAGAAGGGTGAGAAGACAGGGAAAAAGAAGGAAACATTACTGGTCCTTCCCTTGCTGTGATGAGGCAGACTCTGCAAGTGTGGCTAAGCCTTACCCTTTTATTTGTTTCTGCAGGACTGTGGTGTTCCAGAGGTAGAGTTCTGTCCAGGAGCCAGTGCAGAGGGACTTTCTATCTGCATACAGAGTGCAGTTGCTAATTTAGAAGAACTGGATGTTGAGAAAAACCCTTATATAAGTGTCAAATCAGGAGCGTGAGTACTGAACCTTTTTAATAGCATTTTGCCTGCAGGTAGGGGTAACATCATGGGATGAAAGTCAGCCAGGGTATTTGAGGGTTTCTGCTACAAATCAGCTCTACGCTTCAGCATTGTACTATGTGGGCTGCTAGCAGTGGAACCCAATTTTTGTAGACATTTTTCTTCCAGTTGCTGGCAGAAGTCTCCTATAATTCCATCTTTGAGTAGCTTTATAAATAGAAGCAGCAGCTCAGTTATAATTAGCTTTTAGTTCATTGGAGAATAGATATTGTCTCCCTAGTCATCTGCCCTGTTATAACACAGCGGCTGAATACCAGAAAATGAATGTTATGTCATCCAGGCATTCCTCAAGCTACAGCCATATCCTGACTTTCTGGAGAGAGGTGATGCAATGTGATATAGGCCCCTCAGTAGCCCAAGATTTCCCGTATTGAATGGAATAGTCTGTTTCCTGGGTAAATTGCCAGCACTTCACAGCCCTTTAAATTTGGGAATTCTGTGCCTCTTCTCATAAATCATTGCAGAATGACATTAAGTATTCTGCTGAGTATTCTGAGAGTCTTGAGTTTGCCTTTCAATGTGAGCCAAGCCTTCCTTCCTATGGTCTCACAATATGTGCATGAAGCTTGAGGTGGTGAAGGAATTAAAAATGAAGTTTTGAAGTTGGTTTTGATAGAACTTGGTCTAACTTTTAACTGCTTCTAGTCTGTGTAGTTTTAAGAAAGTAATTTTCCATATGGCTCAATGCCTCTTCCCCCATTCCTTATTTGGTCTGCTAACCCTGTGTCCAGCTTCTATGTTCTACTTTCTTTCTGATTTAAAAGAGTCTGAGGGAGTCTCAGCATTTTTAATCTTCATGTTAAAATTACAATAGCCTGCTTTCCAAAGGAGTGTTGTAAATGATCGTATTTTAATCATTTCCACAGAAAAAAAAGAGTTAGATTGATGTCGGAAGCCTTTTAATTCCTAAGGTGGCAATTGTAGGTAAAATTTGATGCAAGCGTCTCATCCTCAATACTGGCATTGGTTTTGTATGCTCATAGTGTAACAAACTGGCTTCTTAAAGTAAACAAACAAATTGTTAATTTTCTGCTCTTTCATTCATGTTTAGCTTGGATTGAGAAAAAGTATCTGAGAACTTAGCGTTGATGTTGCCAGTGTATTTAAATAGAACATGCTTTTGATGTGCTGGCAGTATCTAAAACACATTATCTTGCTCTGAGTACAAAAAGAAAAATAATTTTAATAAGATAATTGTATATGTAATGTATGTGATGAAGCTAGTAAGTCCTTCATCCTTACTGTTATAGGTGGCTTGCTTATTCAGACTTCAATTACAAGGGAGAGAGGAAGGTTTTGGAAGAATGCAATTCACCATCTGAAATTCCTTCAGCAGATGTGAAATCTCTGCGTCCCTTAAAAATGGTGAGGACTTCATAATTCCCTAATAGGTCATGTGCCTTCCTTTTCCTACCATTGCTCCCCAAAGGTTTTGATCTCAATATATAACATAGGTTCTAACATCCTTTCAGGGCTAACTCCTCTCACGCTACGGTGTGTTTGTGGTGTTGTAACAGCACAGCAGTCACTCATTTCGGGGCTTGCTGGGCTCCTGCATCCGCCCAAGTAAGAACATGTAGTCAGAGGGAGCACCTGCTTCATTAGGCCATCTTCCTGGGGAACTGCTGTTGTCGAGGGGAGATCAAATAAGAGAGAACTGAAAGAGTTGTAATTGTATTGCAACCAACAGCAACACATTAATTAAAAAGGCTCTTCAGAAGTTGTTGATCTTTTCTTTAATGTTCCAGTTAGAGTCTGCTGGGGATGGAAGACTAGGTGAGGAGGTTACTGTTGAAAAATACCCAGTAGTATTCCTGCAACCACACATTGCACAAAAATCTTGGGAGGTGCAGCTAATTTTTGTTTTGATAGACAGCATGTACATCTAAATATGAAAGAGATGTGTAAAGGTATAACATCTAGTTCTGTTGTATACATAGCAAGTCTACAGAAAGAGAGTTTAAAAGCTACAAAGGAGTAAGATCTAACAGCTGTCTTTTCAGTCAGTCATGGGAAGTAGGTGTCTTATTCCCCCACTGAACATCATTCCCTAACATTTCCAGAGAAAATTAATTTGTTGTATTTGCTGGTGTTAATACTTTCTTAGTGGTTCATCATTTATTCTTAAGAAATTTGAAATATATACAATACGGCTTTAAAAATTCCATTTTAAAAATTGGTCAGTGTAAATTAGTTAAAAAACACAAAGTAAATATTTGCTTTAGAGTGCCAGTAGGCAATGAAGGAATATTTTAAAATTGCTTGCACCCCTAGAGGCTTGTCAACGCACTGATTTTTTTTGTAGGTCAAGTTTATAGTGTCCCTGACCTTTATGAATTATCAGAATATTTAAACTAGTTTTTCATTTGACCAACACTGAAAATGGTGAATATAATTACAAAGACTTCATGCTCTGATAGTACTATAAAATGCATATCAAAGCATGGCTTTTAAGTTTGATATGAATAGATTTTTTTTCCCTATCTTTTTTTTAGGGTGGACTAAAGGTACAAATGCCGATGAATGTCAAGGTAAGCACTGAGGACACTGAGAATAAAATATGAGTGTAATGGAAATATAAAACCTTTATTAAGGCTGTTTTGTTCAGTGTGTGATGTTTGAATAAGAATTCAGTGTTTGCTGCTGAAGGAAAATTCACTGATGCTGTCAAGTCCACTTTCTTAGTAGTGTTTCATGAGATGTAAAAGTATTAGTAGTTTGTTTTCTACATATTAGGAGAATGTGACTTTGCTATAGAGGAATTGCAAAAGCTTTTACACCATAAAATGAGTTTTCCTGACTGACACATGAGTCACTGTAATGGAAGGGGGTCAGGAGGGATTTTGCCATTTAACATACCAAGTTGTTTTTGGTTTTTTTTTGAAAATGGGAGAGGAGGAAGGAGGCAGGAATGGCACCCTCCCTTGCTATACCTGATCACAATACAAGAGTCATGAGTGAGACCATGACCCTTCTGTGACTTGAGGAGCAGAAAGCTAATACAAAGTTATTGCTCCTTTTCCTTCCTTTTTCTAGTTCTCCATAAAAATGCTAATGCTTTAGGTAGCTTTCAATTACATAAATACATGCAAGACTCAGGTGTTTTTCTAATAAGTATTGCAATAAATATTAATACTACTAATAGCTGATCGATGTGGTTTGGCAGATGAGGAACCCGGAGGGTGTATTAATTGCAGTCACTGAAATTACTTGAGGAAAGTACAGAGAAAGGCTTCTTGTCTACTTTTGAGGGTCAAGCTCAGTGTGTCTAGCTGCGACCAGGTAGGATTCACTGCAGGCTAATGCCTATCCCAGGCATAGGATTACAGGACAGATTATAGTCATATAGCTGCAGTGTGCATTTATGTGTATAGAATTGTGTAAATAAGTATCTTTCTGTGGAAATGTCTGCATGTAGCCTGACAAGCCTATCTAAATCCAGATAGGTTCCCTTCCACTTCTAGGGCACTCAAAAACCAGAAGGGCTGAGCAGTGCAACTCTGAATTTTCTTTGTAGTGGTGCCTTGTTGGAGGGGGAAGGAAAGGTGTCTTCCACACACAGTATCAGTACACCCCCCCAAACTTCAAATTGCTATTCAGGACATACTCAAGGCATTGTTCAACATCATGTCTTCTAGATAATAATATATGAGAAAGCCCACTTTGAAGGATGGTCCAAAGAGTTTTCAGAAAACGTCAGTTCTGTCCCAGCTCTGTTTGGTAGCGAAGAGGAGTTTCAGGAAATTGGATCAATACGTGTAGTTGGTGGAGTGTAAGTATATTTCAATTTTGTATTTAGTTACTTCAGAATAGGAAATCATAAGTAAATGCTAAGAAATGCTAGCTAAGAGGTGACTAGAATCTCTCATTGGTAAAATATTTTTAAAAGAAAGGAGTATATATTTCTCTTGTCAGTTATCAGCCTTGGATGAAACAACCTTTCCATGTGGCTTATCTATCTAAGGGAATATTGAAAGGTAAAACGAAGTGTGTGAGAGGTGTGAAGTCAGTGTTTACCATTTGGATGGCAATACAGTAGGCCACTTTGTTCCTTAATGACAGCGTTCACACAGACCTTTAATTTACATTGCTTTATACTTCTGATAGTCTCTACTTAGTTTACGGAAATTACCTTAGGTAGGAGTGGTCAGTCTTCAATTTGACGTTTTAATGCCTCTGAAATCTATGAAGTGTTTTATTGTCTTAATGGTTTTCCTTTGCCACCTGTTGCATATTATCTGGAATTAAGAATCCGTCCTTATTTTCCTTTGTTGAGGCCATGGACTAATGCTGTGTTGCCCTGCACCTCTCTTTGTCATACACACACACACAAAAGAGGCTGTCTAACACAGTCCTGAGGTAGACTGCTCACGAGGTGGGCTCAGGGCCAGCTATTCTAGAGAGCTACCAACGCCACATGTTGTTCTTTCAAACTCTCCCAAGACCCAACAGGATAGGATTGTTTGAAAGCATGCAGGACGGGTGCTTCTGCCAAAGAGCTTCGCAATAAAAAAGTTTTCAGGTTCTCTTTTTCTTAGAGGATTTCAATGTTTATACTTCAGTGTGAATATTCAATAACATACATCCTTTCAGGCTGTTGTCAGAATCTTACAAGCACTAAATTCAACATAAATGTAATTGTGAATACTCAGATAATCTATTCATAAATACATTATGTATTAGCTATCTGGGAAGCCTCAAATTACTAAAAATCACCCTTCCTTCTGTTGTGGTGGCTTTTATTTTTAATACTGCGGTAACTTAAACAGCTGAATTAATGCAAACCAAATGGTACTAAAAGTAAAGTTATCCCTGCCTGCCAAATTTCAGTGCCGACAGGATTTGTACAGCAGTTCTAATCCTTATGAGGAATTTCTAATGACAGAAATGCTTATAAGAAAAAAGGAAGGAGGGGGAAGCACTTTTTCAATTTAAGATCCAATAGAGCTTTCAAAGTTGCTGTGGAAATGCCGTCTTTTAATTACTTATCTGTTAGTTCAAAAGACTTTAAAAGGCTTTATTCCCTTAGTGCTAAAATATATTCTGTCTGCAATATATTGTGTATATTCAATTCACTTGTCTGTTCATATATATGTTTGTAGATTAGAGCAGGAAACGATGTAAGCAGGTGAAATTTTGTTCTGCTGAAATCCATTAATTTTGTCACCAGTTCCAGCACGGGTAGAATTTTGTCATTTAATAATACACTGAAGGGATCTACTGCTTTGTTTTTCTCATTGGCAATTGGTGGCCTAAGGTGTTTTGGCCACTAGATGCATACTAGCCTCTGTAGTACCAAATATTCACATTGGGAGTACAGCTGACTGAGAAGGAGGTACATGGAGAAGCATTACACAAATGAACTGTTGTTGGAGAAAGAATCACATGGTGGGATTTTGATCCACAAAGAACACTTCATGGGTGCCTGTTGTGGTTTCAAAGCATTGCTTTGTTTGTTAGCTGAATCTGTGATACTCATCTTAGTGTTTCTCTTTCCTTTTATTCATTATAGAAAATCATGTGTGCAGTTGTTCTGCTTTTAGTTATTTCTCTTTCTTTTGTGTGTGGTTGCTGTAGATGGGTTGCCTATGATAAGGAGCGCTACAAAGGCCGTCAGTACTTGCTTGAGGAGGGAGATTATGAAGACAGATACTTATGGGGGGGAACTGACAGTTTCCTCCTGTCTTTCCGGTTCCTTCAGGCTGTAAGTACTTTTAAGAATTTCACACAAATTATGCACTGTTCTATACATAACGAGGAAGGTTATTCTTCGTGTATGGTACAGCTGTCTTGGGTTTAGTCATTCCATCTTTTGCCCAAATTCACTCTCATTCTTAACCCAAGAGCTGAAATTTAGACTGCACTGTATACATGTAAAGCAGAAGCAGGTTCTAAATAGCCTTTGTAAGGTTCCTACAAAGAATGTATCATGCAGAATTCCTTGTCTACCCACCAGGTTTTCCAAGTATCTCACTTCTGCACTTCAAGCTATTTGAATCTCTAGAAGAGAATTTTCTCAAAAGTTTAACATGTGTAAGTGTAAGGTGTAGTTCTTTATTAAAATAAAAATAGCTTTTCAACACAACAGCTGTTGCAAGCCTTAAAACAGCATTCCCCTCTGTCTCTGTGATTATTGTGCCAGAAAATTTTGGCAGCAAAAATAATCATGGTGAAAAAAATCTCTGCTGCTAAAATGTGTTTAGTGTGGGCAAAGATGAAATAATAATAAAAATTGTATCAGAGTCCAGTATTGGAAGCAAAGTTAGACTTTTCAGTGACAGGGAAACATGGGATTAATACTTCTTTATCATTTCCTGTGGTTTGGGGTTTTTGTTTGTTTGGAGGTTTGAGGATTTTTTTTATTATAATAGGAACTCTGTGAGCTTTAAATACAGCTGCAAAGAGTGGCTCCTTCTGAGAATTAGACTGTTCACTCTGAGATTACGCAGTCTTGTGTACTCAGATTACTCATCTCATCTGAGGAGATGTCATATTTCTGAGCCAGGAATTTTGTGAGGTTTGAAGATAGATATTTTGAGCAAACTCATTGTCTCAACAGTCATTATATTAAAAAAAAAAAAAAAGGTAAAAAGAAAAGTTAATTTCAAACTAAAAAGGCCATGCTTAAATTCACAATTTTCAGTTTTGATTTTTGTGAAAGGCACCTCGGAAAAGCTATATTTATAATCAGAATCTATCATATAACTTACAATAGAGATAGGAGAATAAATGGAATCAAAGAAAAATGTCCTCCTCTAAATAATTTATTTTCAGGTTTCTAAGAAAAACAAGGAGGAATTTTCTTCTCACTCCTCATTTTGAATGTGCAGAATCCTATTCAGTTGCTGACTAATCTTAGTTTTTCTCTCTTTTCAACCTATACATAGAATACTTGAGTAACTTAAATCAATCTTTTTAAATCCTCCTCTTGGCAAAGGACATAATTACAAGCTTAAATTTGTGCACCTGCCTAGCAGGGATGACCTTCCATGTACATGTGTGTATTTCATTTGATTCACACCTAGAAGAGTCAGGATGCTCAAGTCACAAACGTTTTAAAAAGTGTCATTCGCACTCATATATCAAGATTTATTGTTCAAATTGGCATGTAAATATATATCAATATGTTCGTATTGATAATAAAAGTGTAAGTAATGCCTTTAATCAAGTTGCAGCATAACTAAAGGCAATGAGCTAGTTGCCAATAAAATGACTAATGACACTGGCATTTTGATGTTCGTCTTGACCAACAGATTGACCGCTTCTCTCTGATGTGCAGTAGTTAGGTCAGTGTTCAGGCTTGCCATATGCTCCCCTCGTGACTTTGTACATGATGCTTAAGGTCAGGATTTTAAAAACATTTTAGTACCAAACTCTTGTTTTCAGAGGGACCTGTGCAAATATCCAAAACACGTTCTGTGTGCTTAAGGCCCCTCGCTGCACAGCAAACGTACTAGCTCTTCTCTGTAATCTGTGAAATTCTGTCAGGAGAAGTGCAGCAAAGGTTGTGATGGTCTCGGCCTCTGCGGGGGTGTTCCTGGATATAAGATGTTTATTGCTCTTCCCTAGAAATTCTGTTTTAGTCAAGTGAATTCAAGAGTCTCTGTAGAAGACTAAGGATTTTGTGAAATGTAGCCAAGTTGTATTTTTGGTCAGCTTCGGTAGGGAGTGAGGCTGAGCATTGACCCTGCTCTTAATACATACTCATTGTTGTGGTTTTATGTAGGGGCCAATCCAGCTAGACTTTTTTTTTTTTTTTTGTGCTTCGGCATGACACCAAGTGACCTTGACTGTGTTGGCTTTAAGGCCAGCCCAGACCTGAAAACAGTTTAGCCTGGCTCACATGGCATGAAGCTGAAGTTAATGAGCCCTGTGTACCTGAGTCAGCTCCAGGCAGAGCCGGATCAAATGTCTTTGTGCTGTGCTCCCAAAGCAGGGAGCATGGTACAGAAGCACGTAAATGGCTGTGTAGAGAGCCAGGCTTGGTACAGCGTGCCTCGTTAGCCTGTGTCAGTACCAGCTCTGTCAGTGTGGCTTAGTGCTATGCAAAGCTATTCAGATGTTTCTGCACCACAACACTCAACATGACAGATTCCACCAGAGCTTATTAGCACTAGGAAAATCCAGCCCATGTTTCTGTACACATACCAGTCACTGCAGTTGAGCTGAGGCATGAATTTAATTACCTGACAAATCAGAAAGGTTAGACATCACACACAAGAGGGATTGTTGCAAGTCATCCCTACCCACCCACTGGTGAAGATGTACACATGTAGGCATACTGCAAGAGCTTTCAGTTTTTGTCTTTCTTGAATATTTCTGCTGTGAAAAGTCACAAGCTCTAATGTGGGGATTCAGGTAGTGCTTTGAAAGCAGAGATAGAAAAGACCTGTACACTGGAAAATGCAATTCTACTCCCAGCTCTGTTACCAGCAACTAAATTGGACACACTGGAGTCTAATACAGGGCTCATTCCTGAGGGCAAACAGCAGTTTGTGCTGGTTTGGGGGACAGTTGCATTTGCTTCTGCAGTGTTAAATGAAAGAACCTGTGAAGCTGGGATTTGCCCGTAGCTGTCGTGATCAGGGAAGGAGCAAAGTTTCTGACTGTCTTTCAGTGGAGCAGACTACGTTGCCTTTGGATCTTTCCCATTAATGTTTTCAAATCTAAAATGGTTTGCCTTGGTCTGAAAGTCCATTATTAAGTATGATTCTGGGTGTATTTCAGTATTTTAAGTTTAGTCAAAGAAATTATGTGCAGGTTTGATCTAAACCCCCGTGTCCTGGGCTGCATCAAAAGAAGTGTGACCAGCAAGTTGAGAGAGGTGATTCTCCCCCTCAACTCTGCTCTTGTGAGACTCCCCCTGGAGTACAGCATCCAGCTCTGGAGTCCTCAGCACAGGAAGGACATGGACCGGTTGGAGAAACTCCAGAGGAGGGCCACAAAGATGATGAGAAGGCTGGAGCACCTCCTCTATGAGGACAGGCTGAGGGAGTTGGGTTTGTTCAGCCTGGAAAAGAGAAGGCTCCGTGGAGTCCTTCTAGCAGCCTTCCAGTACTTCAAGGGGGCCTACAGGAGAGATGGGGAGTGTAGACACATGACAAGAGGTTTTAAGCTGAAAGAGAGTAGATTTAGATTAGATATTAGGAGGAAATTTTTTCCTGTGAGGGTGGTGAGGCACTGGAACGGGTTGCCCAGAGAAGCTGTGGATGCCCCATCCCTGGAGGTGTTCAAGGCCAGGCTGGATGAGCCTTTGAGCAACCTGGGCTAGTGGAGGGTGTCCCTGCCCATGGCAGGGGAGTTGGAACTCGATGATCTTTAAAGTCCTTTCCAACCCAAACCATTCTATGAGACTAAATGGGTTTTCAGGAACTCTAACCAAGACCTTGCTTTAAGACTGTTAAGGGTAGCTGTTTCTCATTTGCACTAAAACTCTACTAGTATTTTTTTTTTCTAAAAGTAGTCTGAAGCTGCAGTTGTTCATGGGGATTTTACCAGACCTGACACTTGAATTTCTAGTGTACACCTGAAGAAGTTGCAACTTTTTAAGTAAATGAAAGGAGATGGTTAACATAGTAGGAAAACTAGGTTTAGTACAGAATTTGTTCCATCGCTATCACTTCTTAGTATCCTGTAAACAATGCAGGGAGGTTGAGCCACATCCAGTGTTCGTTCTAAAATTGGTTTTCATTATTCATTCTGATTGAATCCTGTACAAAGGCCTCTAAAGAGCCTTTTTGGTCAGGTGAACCTGACCAAATGAATCTGGTTGCATGCTTGGCTTGACCTTAATTTCTGACTGTTTTTTTGATTCTTGTAAGTCTTTGTTTTCTCAGTGTAGCCTTCAGCATACTGCTGTCTGGTTGATATCTTGTAAGTACAGTAACTCCTGTGATGGTGTCCTCATGTGTCTGTGAATCTGCATTGACTTCTGTATTTACTTGATAGCCTTTTCTCTTGTTTGCAAGACTTACTTGTTTTCAACTTATTATAATGTTGCTGAATGTTTCAGAAACACTGAAATTGAATTGAGTTCATGCTTTTTTGTTAAAAGTTAAAGGAAGAAAGTGAATGGATTATTGTTTCCCATTTCCCCAAGCAGTGACTGAACTGTGTGCTTCAATTGCTAAGTGGTTAAAAAGTTGGAGATTTGAAACCCAAATTCAAATAATCTGAAGGTGTGCAAGTAATCTGGTCAAGCAACTATGCTAGCTGAAAGCATAAAGCAATGTCACAAAGCTATGTAAGACAGAACATGACAGTGTCATGCAGAATTTATTTTGTAGCTATAGTGATTAGTCATACAGTGGATGTATCCAAAAACTACAAACTCCTTGTGCTGGAAAGGTGATCTTGTCCAGTCTTTTCCTCTCCATGATTATTGCCTTGTCGCTGGGAAAGGATAAGGAAGGAGAACTTGAAGTATAAGACTGTAGTCATGCTAATGCTTGGAGTGGTCATTTGTGAAGCTGTGGGAAGACCAGTGCTAAATCCCCAACCCTTTTCTTTCCCACACAGGCATCTTTGCACTCTTAGTCATCCTTGTAGAGGAAAGGATGGTGCTCAGGGGCAGCAGTTTCTTCCTCTCTTCAGTGGAAACCACTGAAGGCCATATCAGATTGCCAGGTTTCCAGTTAGGCCAATGCCAAAATATCCCACAAAGATCCACACAAGAGACCCAAGTCCCTTCACTGCTTTATGAAACACTGTCTTTCAGGCTACAACTCTTTTCCAGAATGTTTTATGTTGTAAAGTGTTGCTGAGCTGTGACAGCCTGTCTTCTAACTCCTGTGCTACCTCTTAGGATTTCATAGAGTCATCAGTGGCACTTTTTCAGTCTGATGATGAGGATGGGAAAGCATTAGACATCACCAATGAAGAAATCCCTGATTTGGAGCTGGCTGGATTTGGCCCAGAGACGAGATCGATTCTTGTGAGAAGTGGAGTGTAAGTCTACTGAAATACATGGATGGAAGGATTAAGTATTGTTCTGCACAGTTGGGTTTGGGTACATCTTTTGACAGAGTATATTTCACGTGGTACAGGTGGTAAACACTTGGAGAACAATGTTTCTTTTGGTTTCCTTGGTAAATGGAAGAAAAAAAAAAGCATCTTTACTTGGGTCTGGGCATTGTTACTAGAGAAAACTTTTGGTGTCCCTCCAGAGGTCACACAGACTGTAGTTTCATGATACAGGAGCTTTGGCAATAATACAGAAGAGGGATTTTAGGTATGTTAAGAACTGGGATACCTTCTGGGACAGATGGAGCCTGTACAGAAAGGGTGGGTTGTGCCTAATTTGTAATAAAGTCAGGCTGCTGGCACTGAAATATAAAATGCTTTTTAGAGAACTATCTAAACTATAAGCAGGGGGTTAAACCAACAGGTGTGGAAGAGTACCTGGTTGAAGCTGATACAGCCTACAGGGTGGACTTGGCTAACTCTCGGTGTGCCTATGTGAAGTCCAGGAGGAAATTAAAGAGCACAATTGCAATAAATAAGGAAGGTAAATTAGACCACCTGCAATGTCTGTTGACGGAGATATGCAGTATTAATTGATGGAACAAGGTCAAAACTTGCAAGTGTTAGAAGCTTAAAAAATAGTATGGGGTAACTAGAATGGTTAACATGAAATGACAGCTCTTATATGACAGATACCAAGAGATTCACACGAAGGATAAGCAGAGGAGCTACCAACTCCATAGGAATGATGGAGTAGGCTATTACAGGCACGGCAGTGGTACTGTACATGAAGAATGATATCAAGTGCTAAAACATAAAATACATTATGGGAAAAAAGCACAGTGGAATCATGTGGGTGGAAATTCCAGACTTCAGTAATAATTTTAACAGTTCAGTATTAACATTGTCATGCCTACCCTAATGGTTACGGTGATAGGTATCAGCAACTGATAAGAGACTAAAAAAGCTTCAGACTTACAAGAGGCAGCTATATGGGAGATTTGAACTGCTCACACAGAGACTGGGTATCAGTGTCTCATGAGGATGAGACACAAGGATGAAAGGCTGGGACTCAATTTGGAGAAGAGATGGCTGAGGAGGGATATGAATGAGATCTGCAAAATCCTGAAGGTGGTAGACAAGCTTAATGCAGCAGTGTTCACAGAATCCTGCATGACAGTTGGGGGATGCTTTACAGAACTAGCTGAAGATTGCTTAAAACACATTTAGAGGTGGGGAGCAAAAATCCTTTCTTACACCAGAGGCAATTTCTGGAATTTGCTGCTAAAGTAGTCTGTGTTAAGCACCAGGAGGTTTAAAAAAGCGTTAGACAAATTGACAAACATTCATAAGCAGGTGCTGAAAGAACTAGGAAAGGAGAAGCCCTCTAATATCCCTAATGTAACAGTCCCAGGTGCTAGGTGACTAAGAGAGGAATGCACCACCAAAAGTGGCCAGGTTAGCAGCATCTCTAACTAGCCTCCGTCTACTTCTGCCACTGCCAAAGAGCGTGTCTGCAGGGCTAGAGGCACCCTCAGTCTCACGTATCTGGGGATTTCTTTCTTCTTAAATTGCAACCAGCAAAGCAGGGTGGGAGAAGCTTAAACAGCTTTATCTCATCCTATCAAGGCTTCTTCATTTACTTCTCTTTCTTCCAGCACCATTTTTCCTAAATCCAACTGGAAATGTTGGAAGAAAGCCCTGTCTGGGGGGATGCTGACCGGGTAAAGGCTCAGCTGAGAGAAGTTCAAAAACTTGTTAGTTAAGTGTCTTTCCTCTGGGCTTCTAAGCAAGGCATCATCTCATGCTGAATGTATATTTGATAGAAAGGCAGAGACACAGAGTTGTGTGTTTGTCAAAATAGTGTTTGCAACATAAAAACAGAAAATCAAGTGTGTGACAATTTTGCACCTCTCATTGGGTTTGATGTTACACTGTCTGTCAGGTGGATGTATCAAGGCAACTCCAAAGAAAATTGTTCTGTTTAACTCATTAGTATGTTCATCAAACTACACAGAAAAAAAAATGTGATGTTTTCCATTTAATTTTTGTGTTATTCTTCAGGTGGGTTGCTTATCAGCAGAAATATTTCTGTGGAGAACAATATGTATTGGAGAAAGGAAAATATAAGTGTTTCTTTGACTGGGGAGGTTCTAGTAAAATCATCATGTCAATTCGTCCTATTAAGTTGGTGAGTTACCAGAACTTGTTAAGGGTAAAACTTCAAAGAAATTACTCCTTTGGAGATCAGAGTGTACAATAATGTTATCATGTGGGCTCTGCTTTTTAATCAGTTGGTCTATTTACTTGGACACAAGTTCAGGACCCTTGTGGGTGACGTATAAGGAATCTGTTCAGGATGGTGACTGAAATGGACACTCTGGGTCTTTCTGTCTGTCGAGAAAGTTGTCAGGGAAGCTTCATGAGAAGAACTTCCCTTTGGCAGACTGCATTCGTGGAAAGAATAACCTAGCCTGGAAAGATTAATTTGCCTTAAAACATAGTAACTTATAATGCCTAATTAATAATGGATATAAATGGATACTTGAGAATTTATCGGGCCCATATTGTTGTTGTATAATAGAGGTCTGACTTTTTTTCCCCTATTTTTATGCTAAGATATTTGTAATTCATATAGTGACTAAAGACAGGAAATATTCTTAATCCATTACTAAATCCAGTGCCCAAATAGATCAGTGCCAGAACTGTCAAAACCCTAATGCAAAACAAAGACAATCTTCAATAATGAGTATGTAATAATTACAGTATGGCATTGAAAATAGGAAAGGAACAAACACGTAACCTTGTTTAGAAGAGCACGTGTTGAAAGAGGTGTCCCAGTCTTCTGTTGTTTTTAATTGTCTTTTTTTTTTTTTCAAGAAATAGACTCAAAAATAAATACAGAGGCATTTATACAGGCTCTAAGCCAGATTATATCGACTAATTAATGTTGATGGAAGGTCTCTGTGTGGAAAAGGACTGAACAGTCAGGCAGGTAGTCATGAGCTTACAGGCAGCTGATGGCAGAGGCTGGGGCAGAGAATTGTGCCAAGAGCATGGGAAGTGTGTTTCCCTCTGTTCCTGAGTTCATAATTAACAAATTTCAGGAACTTAGTATGTCTTCTAGGAAGTTAATTGTAATTAATTTTATTCATTTATATGCACGTATATACGTTTGTTATTGCAGGAACCACTTGGAACGAATGAGCCTCCACATTTGGTATGTTGATATTATATGAGTCTCTAGTACTAAACCACATTTAATAATTAAATACAGGTAATGTTGAATGTCTTGCTTTGTTTCTTCAGATGATATCTCAGTATTATCATCTCCATACAGCAGAGCATTGATGGAGGAAACTAGCAGATGTGTAAAGGCCGAGTTTGCTAATGTTCTGCTCTTTGCTTTACTCTAGATTACAGCTTTTAGTGTTCTGTCCTCAAAAACGCAAGCAGTTCAGTAGGTTTTACAAATCTGTGATAAATCTCTCCTCTATGATACATTCTATTTCCCTGAAGGTCATGTCTGACTTGGTGACAACTTACAAAGAGAAAGCGATCTCTATAATTCACTTTTAGTCTCAGCTAACAAGTTAGAACAAGTTACTTTAGGGTTTTGCAGTTTTGGTCATTACCTTACAAGGTTAGGTTCCATTAATGCACCTTTGTGATATCTTTCAAAACCAAAAACCTTCACTAAGTGTTTGTGCTCATCACTGAGGATGGTCTGTCTGTCTCTCCTGCAACATTCTGTCCCAACAAGGCTCTCTTCCCTTCCTGCATGAGTTGTTTGTTTTCTTTTTTTGTTTCCTGGAGTGTGCTGCTAGCATGGGTGAGGATGTACGTGGTTATATTCCTCTCTCTCTCTATGACATGCTCTTAATTAAGTGAATTTGGAACACCTTATTTCAAGAAACATTACATTTTTTCAGACAAAAGAGACTTTAGAGTTCAGTGGTTCTGTTTCAGAAAACTTAAGTTCCGGACACAATTTTGCTCTTCCTTGCTCGGATGGGTAAAATAGCCATAAGTGCCTGGGAAATACATACAATGTGTTGTAGATCAGCGTTGCAGGTTGACCATACATGGTGTTGTCGGTCAGCATTGCAGGTTGACCACACCCTTCTTTTTTCTCCAAGTTATTCTAGTTCTACAATTTCATGATTAACCCAGAACTACAGGAAATGTTTCCTGTCTGAAGACATAATTGGTGTTTTATTTTAGTTTTAAACACTGATTTCCTGCCTGACCTATTCATATTGCAGTTTGCAGCCAAATCAAAGACTTGCACATTCACAGTAAGGCCTTGGTAAATGATACCAGATAAAATAACCAACTCAGATTAAACCAGTGGGATCCAAACAGTTGAAGACAATTTTCTTGCTGTCTTCAATTCTTCTACTTTTTCAGGATCTCCCAGAAAGTATTCTTTCAGTGATTTAATCTGGTTTTACAGACCTTTAAGATCAATTCAAACCTTTGAAGTTTCAATAAATTGTGCTTTACAGTATTTTTATTTACAGTGATACATGAAAAAATTTGTGTGTGTGCATATATGGACAGTCACCTTTAAATACCAACATGTACTACATTATGTTTGGCCTTTTGTGTTCTCTAATAGCTGTCTTAATGCTGGTTTTAAAAAATACTATACTGACTTATCAGTCAGCAATTCTAGTTTTCACAGGATTGTGGTCTAAAGCCAGGGAAGAAAGAATATCCTTCCCGTTGGTACAGTTCTTTTAGGAAGAGAACTGTTTTGAGTAAATTTTTATGGGAACACACTTATTCACTTAGGATAAGTAAAGGGCGGTCTTTTGGATAAACAGAATAAATTCCCATTCAAAATAAAATACATGTTTCCATGTATGCAACAGTCTCTTAGTTTGGAACTTAAAAGCATGGTGAATATGAGCTGGCAAATCTTTAAGCATCCTAATGTTTGGCCCTTGTATAAGCCATATACCATTTATTTTGAATGATTATACATTCTCCCACCTTTAATAAACATATGTGAGCTGAGGGAACTGTTTTCACTGTCTACACACAGTGTCTTTTTTTCACTTCTGTTTTAGTTGTTCATCAGAAGCTGAAAAGCAACTAAATTTCTTCAGTCTCTCAGCAATTCCCCTGACTCCTGTCAGGCTCCCTAATAAACAAAGTACTTATAATTTCTAAGAATGCCTGAAATCACTGACTCTAAAAAGCCATTCATTTTATTTATTAAAAATAAAACTTGGTTTTGCCCAGCAAGAACAAAGCCTCTTTCAATAGCAGATGACTTGTACAGATGATTTAGGAAGCAGAGATAATTGCTGTGATAACTTGTATTTTTATTTTAACATGCTGTTCATTGACTTTCTAGAAAGCAAAACCTCGCAGAGTCATGTCAAACCCTGACAAAGTAGAGAGAGCTGCAGTTTGAGACTAATTGCAGTTATGCAATGTTTTCACTGAGGAATCAGTACTTCACCCCAGCTTTTGTCAAATTAAGACCATAATTCATTATTAGATATATTCAGTATAAAAATGGGTTATAGATCTCTTTTAAAAGCCTTGCATAGCATCTGGCCTCTGAAAGAAAGTGTGTGTATATATATTCCTTTATAAAGAGCTTTGAGATAAGTGGGTAGAAAATATTATGTAATTACAGCTTAAATAGATCCTTTGTGACATAGCAGTGCAATTATGTTTACAGGAAAATCAGTTACACTTTATTCATTATATTATAGCTGATTTCTGTTCTCCAGTTTGCAGCTACAGCATGCAAGGCCAGGTTAAGTCTTTCTTGTTCTTTCTAACAGGAAACATATTCATTTATTTTAAAAACATAGACTGAGCTTTTCCATAAAATCATGTGCTGATACTTGTGTTTGGCCTTCTCACTCTGTACTGGGAAAAGCATTTGATTTCTTTTCTTTGGCAGGAAGCTAGGCCAATTTGGGGCATGAAGGGGGAAGGAGCTCTTGCAACAGCCATCGTGTTTTTCTTCCGTTACAGAATATGAGCTGTTCTCTTGATACAGTTATTTTTTTCATTCTTTTACAGCCTCTCTTTCAGGCTTTAAAGTGAAATTCACCTCAGTTACACAGTGGTGGACCAAGGGTACAGAAATCTAGGTGACCTTGCGTAGATCATAAGCTATATCATACTACTTTTATTTCTTTTTTTTCTTTTACTGCAACACTTTCAACCTTACTGCTTTTTCAGCATGAATTGGTCACATCTTACTGTTGAGGTATGGTTCAATGTGGCTTGAAGTTCTTCACCAAGACATGTAAAAAGAGCTTAGCTGAACTTCAGAAAGGTCACTGTGCCTCTACCAGGCTGTACCCAGTTCCCCCAGAAATTTTCCTGAGAGTTCTTATATGAAGAACTACCTGTAATCACTGTGGTCACAGAAGATTTCAAGGCACTTTGTCAACAGTAGCCCTGTATCTTTTGACCAACACTTCCCCATCCTGTTTTGAACACTGGGTTGCTGAGCTAGTAGCAAGAGTTAGCTGCAGTTCAGGAGTACTTTGTATAGAAGATAACATCCTTCAGTCCTAGCATTCTCTTTTTCTCTGGGCTCTCTCCTGCTGCAGTTGAACTTGCACTTGATACCACTGCCTTAGCATCACTGGGAAGCACCCCATACCAGGCCCAGAGATGATAAAGCACTTGATCTTTCTAATAATAAAGCGTCTGTAGAAATGTAAAAGATTCCTTAAGTGAGAATTCATTCTATTTATTGTATCTTTGTGAGTAGAATGGATACTTCTCTAAGACCACAGCTATCTCTGTTTTCATTAATGATAATACGTTCATTTTCCTTCTAGTCATTGGTTTTGTTTTGTTTTGTTCTTGTAGCTCAAAGCTTTCAGTAATACACATTTCCAAGGAGCATGTCTAGATTTCACAGCAGAAGTTTCTGATTTTACATCATTCATACCATGTTCTTTTAAGGTTCTTCGGGGATGGTAAGTCGGTTTTACATGCCACCATTTTAAGCAATATGAATTTTTTTTTAAATACTACTAAAGTTCCAGCAGCTGAAAGTGCATAACACATGCTCATCATATTCCATCATGGCTTAGACTCTTTGTCATGCGATGCATCTCAGTAACTGTCGTCCTGTTCTTGGTTTGGGTAGTATGCATTTTGCTTTCCCTGTGGGAAGTTTGCACAGTTACTGTGATTCTTTCTTTATCTCCAATCAGAATTTATTCCAGATTTTGAGAACTTGGTATGGTAGAAGTGTCTGCATTCCACTTGCGTCATTTGACTCAGGGACTAAGATTTCTGTACCACATGATTTGATTTTGCTGCCTTGGTTGCTTTGTCACGAAGCTTTTCAAGTCACTGTACTTTTAAGCTTAACAAGAACAAAAAAATTTTTTATTCCTTATTTCCTTAGCAAATATTAAATTTTGAAAAAAACTTGTTAATAAGCAGCTAGAGCAACTAATCTTTTTGTTACGTTATTCTTGCAGTTGGCTCCTATATTACCAAGGGGAAATCACTGACAATCACTGTGTGCTGGAAGAAGGCCTCTACGTTGACCTCAGTTCCTGTGGCTGTCCAACTGCTACAATTAAATCCCTCAAGCCTATTCAATATGTAAGGACTTTGTGGGGGGGGGGGGGGGGCGAGTTTTGGAACTCTTCCTAGTCAGATGTCTGAAGCAAGTGCTTGCCCTAAACAAACTCCCACTTAGGGAAAAGAGTGAAGTTTGTTTTCTTGGCTTACGGGATTTTTTTTGGGTTAGGAACAAGCCAAGCTGCATGCACATATGCACATGGTCACTTGTAGGCACACGCTCTTGGGTATTCTGGGCTCAAAGTTTGTCTCTTTTATACAAGATGCATTGGTTGGCATTTTTCTGACTGGTCTTTATTATACAGCTCAGCAAGCTTATAGTACACAGTGAGACATTGATTTTGTTGCACTGTCTAAGCATACAGGGCTTCTTTTTATTAGGCCTACAGCCAAGGTTCAGTCTTCAGGCAGAGTACACACAGAAGACATGAAAATTGAAATTACAAGGTAGCATATACGTGCCATAATGCTGTTTAATTTATGAAGTATTTTACAGAAATATAAAACAGGTTTTCACCTCCTAATGGCATCTCAAATCATGGGTCAATGAGGTGATATAATATTACCATGTATGTGGCCTGTGTGCTGTGTATGACACATCACATGTCCATTCCAAAGTTCATGTGGCCATCCTCTCTCAGTGACTTCTGAGATACAGGACAAATGCCTATTACATATGCACACAGTCTTCATGACTTTCAGGTCACACTGGTTGTTCTACCCAAGCACACATCTTGCGGTCAGGTGTCCTATTGTAGCAGTAAAGTGAGATACGAGGTCCTCTGTGACCAGGAGATTGGACAGGAATGCATTGTACTATCCAGTACAAGACAGATACAGCCTTCTGTACATCCTGGTGTAGTCCTGCACACAGGACAGATACCTCTGGAGTCTTCCTGTCATCTCTGTGCCTTTGTCCCATACCTTGGTATGCTCCTATGCAAGAGTATCAAAGATAAGCTGGCCATAATGCTGTGGGTAAAAGACAAGCAAGTGGCTGCTCTGCCCACTCCTTTCTAGCACTAACCAACTTCCTCTTGTAGTCCGAAGAGACCGACAACTCTTCCTCCTTCCACAGTCACAGAGCACAAACTCAGTCTGTGTGACATGTGTCCTTCAATGTAACTCTTACGAAACTAGACTTCTAAAGATTACTCAATTCAGTTTTCTTCAAATATTAAAAGTCCTTTTTTCTGTTTGGGAACAGATTTTTAAAAAATAAACAAACAAAACCCAAACATAAAAACCATGGACATGGTGGGAAGGATGTGTGACTTGAGGCTGAGAGCTGGTCTTTTCACTAGGTTGCATAGTTGCTTCAGTGGAGCTATAGCTTCCCACCTGCTGAGAGCCTGGTTTTCAGCTTCAAGATCTTTTCATGCTAGGATTTTGGGCTCTGCTCTGCTAAATCAGAATGAAGTTTTGACATGAAATGGTAGGTCTCATCCAAATCCCCCAGCCTGGAATCAGACAGGGAAGTTACTGTGCAGTTTGGCGTAGTAGGAAGCTACTGGCAGCCCTTGATTACCAAGGGCCAAGCCCTGGGAGAAGTGTGTTTGGCAGGCTGTGTGTGGGAAGCTTGCACACGTTTTCCTGTACTTCGTAAGTGGCTTGCACCTCTTAGTTCAGTTCCTCTCTTGCAAATAGGAGCCCTTGTATTTCACAAAATTGAGGCACTAAACAGCATAAAATGCTGTTCAACCACACCTGTTTTACAAATAGAAATGTTCTCATCGGCCCCTAACGCATTGTGTATGCTAATCAGACAGGACAGCACTCAGAGGCATTGTGTGGTACGGACGTGAGGTTAAGCACGCAGCAGTAAGCTTGGTCAGTGGTCAGAAGCAGCCGCAGTTAATTCTGTGCATTGTCTGCAATGCACTGTTCTTGGAACAAAGCCCTTTTTATTACGAGATACTTCTGTTAGCTCATTCAAGAGAGCAGCAAGCATATTCCCAAGTGGAATTGTTGTATAGCTTTATTGAATTCAGTTTTGACATTGGGAACTGCTTCCATTGTTCAGCTTTAAATACCAGCCCAATTTCAGACCTAAGGTGTGTATCTCAATAGCTCACGTGTAAGGAGAATGTTTAACCCTGACACCAAGCCCTGAATGTGCATCATCTCCTGCTGACGTTTAAGTGGGATGTATTTGCTGCAAGTGTAACTGTTGGAAGAACTCTCACATGGCAGAGGAGCCATGAGTTGCTTCAGTGTGGGAGGTTTCTGCATCCCAGATGTTGACTAGAAGTAGAGGCCCATGTGTGGCACTGGCAGAGGGGGAAAAAAATAAACTTTTAGCAGCACAAAGGACTCATAAGGCTGGCTCATTACCAGCCTTTGAAAACAGTCCAAGTTCAAAGACTGGTGTAGATGTGGTCTAGCTGTATATTTTAGAACTAGATTGTTTCAGCCAGTCCTTTTGGAATAGGAGAACAACTCTGCTGGAGCAAATGGGGACATGGGATCTGGGCGTTCCCCTTCTAACTTGCAAGATGGTATGATAATTAACTGTGTGTTACCTTGATGTTGCACAGCTGAGTGAAGTCCCACCTCTGGGCCTTTATCTGCAGGATACATGTAAACATATAGTTTCTTTGTGTGGGGCTAACTCCAAAGTAGGTACTGCATGTAGCAGTGCCTTCAGTGTAACTTTTTTCAGTTTTCACTTAAAATCTGTAACAGTTTTGAGGGGCTTTTTGAATGTTGTCAGCTGCCACAAGATCACTGGGCTCTCCATTTTGGAAGAATTTGAGGACAGAAGTTACATGTTTGTAGTACTCCTTCATGGCAAAGGGTGTGCTTCTGCGACCTGATGGAACAACACTGTAAGGAGGCAGTGGGATTTTTGTGACTGAAGAAGGTAACAGTAATGCATTAATCGATATAAAAAAGCTAAGAACTTCTGCAGCGCCTTGACTGATTGTTTTGAAAAGAAATCAACCAAGGAAAGGATTTGAGGGAATAGTTTGGAAAAAGCAGCTTTGATGCAAACAAAGTACTTGGAAACAAATACAGCAGATGTTCTCAATGAAAAAAATAACCATTTTTTTTAGGAAAGTAAACTTTTGAGTTCTTAGTTTGAAAATTGCCAGAAATATAGTTTGCTTGTTTAAGAGCTTAATTACATAACAAAATGAAAAATCTCATTCTAAATCACTGAGTTGGCCCAATTAAAACAGAACCAAACACAAAGCTTTCAGAGCAACACAGAATGAATTTGGATAAGAAAACAGGCTCAGACTAGTGGTGGTCTGATTTCTTCACTGTGATGACAGGATTTTAGGTTGGCTAGCTTTGTTTCTAACCTTTAGCTCTTGGCGAGAAGTTTTATGGCTTTGCTGAAAAGGGAAGTTGTCATCATTTAATTATGGCATGCTACACCCACCACCGCTGCACACACACTCCCCCATTTCTCAAGAAATTCAAATTAACTTGGTTCCTCTTTGCTTATTTCTCCATTTATTCTGCACTGGTGTCACAGAGGAATTAATCACATCTTTGCAACAAGTTTCTTCTACTGTTTGTTCAGGAAGTAGCAAAGTAAAAGTTAGGTAGGTTCATAAGGAGAGTGGGGAAGGTGTTCCCTTAATTCCAGGAACCTCTTTCCCATCTTGGCTATTCTCAGAGGTGTATAATACTCAAACTAAACCTTTAGAAAGAGACCCTACCTGTATTTTTTCCTTGCTGTTCCATTTCACTCAAATTTGGACTGTACTGGTTTGTCATTCTGGGAGCATTTAGGAAAAGCTATAGGTTAATGAGGGGCTACAAAGAAGGAACAAAGCGTATCTGTACCTTGATAATGAAAAAATAATGTCCTTTGTATTCAGTACCCTGGGAAGAAAAATAGTGTTACAGTACCCATGTATTGATCTAGATTGCATATTGAATAGCGATGTGTTACATGGCCTCTTCCCTTCTGAAAAGGGGAATGCTTCTGAAAGACCAATGAGTCTTTTTTCACATACTGGTTATAAGTGGGGGAAATATGCTAGAAAGTAGATCTCACAGGAACGTATTTATTTAAGTGAACAGGCAGTTACTTGAAATTAGAAGGGTACACATCTATTTAGTAGTGGTAGGAAGACTGGAACTAATGTAACTTGCCTCTCATCGTCTCCTGTCATTGAAAAATCCCAAAGCACTCTTTTAAGAAGTGTTCATTGATGAAATTTGCTGGTATTGTTGTTAATAGTCACTCTGCAGGCAGGTAAAAGCATGGCACAGGTTGCTGCATTTGCTGCAGCAGTGCAGGTATCCATGCCTGCATCAGCAAGGACTTGCCTTTTGCATTGCCATGAATTCATGAGAAGGAAAGCAGGGGCTGCTCCCCTGGTCGCAGAAGAGCAGGTAAAGTCAGCTGGGCCATTTATAGGGCCGTAGTTGCTTACTGGGGCATTTGGCCAGTGTCTGTTTCTTGAAGAGGTTAATCTTTTGGGATAGAAACCCTTACAAGATGTTCTTACAAAGGGGAGTTCAGCTCTACTTCTGGCTTTTCTCAGGCATGTTGTTTTGTTAAACTCCCTGTAATATTTGCTGTGACTTATATGGGCAAGAGTATCCAGGATTTTTGCAGCAAGCAATTAGTTTTCCTTCTAAAATGTTAACTTCAGCCCTAAAGTTAAACCAGTCTCATAATTTCTAAAAACAAAAATGAGATCTGGGTTGTAGGTTGTGCAATGCCTTTTTTTTCCTCCTGCACCTTCTTTTCTTTTGAGGCATTCTTTCTTCTTGCTCTGATCGATGATGATGGTTCCTGTATTTCTACATTGATTATCTTTTCTAATTTAAACACAGGTTTTAACTAATCTCCTTAGCATTCCTATGAGGCAAATAATGAAATCAGCTACAAAAAATGAATCTGTGTTTCCCAGGGCCAGGCAATGAGTCATTTTGTGGAGCTAGGACTGGACCGCGGGTGTTACTGTTGTCCAACACCATGTTCCTCTCCCTCAGCCAGGCATCTTTCCCACGCTGAAGGGAGTAGCCAGGCAAGCACAACTTCGGTAAAGACAGTTGTAAATTGTGAGTTAGCCAAGACTGAAGAGTAAAGATTTTTCCAAGGATGTTGTAATACAGCTGTGGAGTCTCTTCCACTTAGTCTGGCAAATGCTGTTTGCATAGCAACAGCTCAGCAGGGACGAGAAGTAGGGAAATGTACCAACCCTTCAAAGTTTGCAAAATCTAAGTTTGCAAAAAAGGTGCAAGGGAAGATAATGTTTTGCAGTAAGCCCTTCTCAGAAGGGCTTTATTACTAATAATTTTCCTAACATTAATAATGAAAAATCATCTGTATGTTATCCATAGCTAAAACTATACTTGTTTTTATTATAAGCATGTGTGCAACTTCATTTGTGGACTTGGTTTTCATTTGTAGCACCTTTTGGTTAGCTTCTTTGTGTCTGTACACTATTGCTTTTCAGCGGGTCAAGCACCTAAGCCTTGCACCACAAACAAAAGGCATTTGAAAGGAAGCTCATCTTGCACTGATTTTTTTTTTAATACTAAACACTTCAGGGTCACATTGCACTTTTTTCTGAGCTGGTAAGGTATAAAATTGTGTTCTGAATTGTGAGAAATTTGTAGTACACAGCTTCTCTCCATTAAAAAAAAAGGTGGAAGTCATTGAGGGGAAAGTCTTAAGCTGAGTTGAACTGTGCAAGAGATTTTTAGTGTTTTGATTTCCATGGCTTACCTTTTAGCCTCTGAAATCGCACTGTGGGGAGGGAAAAAAGGTATATCATTTCCATGGTGTCACATGCTGTGTTAGCCATAGGCTACCACACCTGTTAAGTAAAGAATATCACTGTATTTAGCAGTTCACAAGGCTATGTAAATACAGCTTTGCTTAATCACCGGCCTCTTGAATATATTAAATCTCTTCAAGTTTCTCCCTGGATACAGGACAAGCAAAACCTTTTGAAACTTTATTGGTGCTAGTTTAAGCAACGCAATTAGTTCCTTAACGCACAAAGATCAGTTTAAGTAATTCTTCAGTGCTTTGTCATTCTTGCAGTTGGCAAGCTTTCCCCAAAGGATGGCATTTCAGGTGTTTTCCTTGAAATAACTAAGGTAATCCTGACCTAGACATGGTAATGAATTGCCAGTCGTGGGTAAATGTAGATGTCTTTAGCTCACGAAAATCCGGGACTGGGGTCCACCTAAAGCAATGCCACAATCTGAGGTTGTCCCCTCTTGTATCCTCTGCCCCGTTGTCCTTTGTCTGGCTCTCAGAGAGCCCCATTCTTCCCTGGCTTGTCAGGATTGGGCCTTGGTAAAGAAAGCTGATCCTGTCAGTCTCACACTTATCTGTTGGTGATGACTTTTCAGCCTGAAAATGGGTGAAGGCGCACCTCAGCATTCTGCAAGGAAGGGTGGGAGCAAGACGCCTCTGTAGTAAGTGTAACAGCATAGCCTCAAAACCTTGTTTTTTACTGTTGGTAGTTTCCATGGAGCTATGAAAACAAAATCAGAGAAAAAAGCCAGGCCAAGTCACTGCTGCCAGCTGTTGGTGTAAGACGGTATATATAAAGTGAGTAACCGGCTCCTTGCTCTATATATGGTGATGGAAATAGGAAAGCTTCAGTGCTTGAGACAGCAGCATGTGTTCTTGTTCTGTGCTTCATGTCTGTGCCAAGATCAGTGGAGTCCTTCTGAGGTCTCACTGGAAAGGTGGTATCAGTCCTTGTGATGATCGGTTGTGTGTGTTTGTCATAGATGCAATGTCTGCTGCTTACCAACAGGCTGGGACTCTGAGCAGGCTTTCTCAGGCCCATTGAGTGCAGTCTCATCCACAGGAGAGCTAGAGTCATTTTAATTGACACCACCAATTTGCTGTTCTGACTCTTGGTGTATAAATGGATACGCTGGATCAGATGACTTGTCCATCTAGTACAGTCTCCCTGTCTCTTAATTGAATATTGCAACAGCAGGATAAATTTTAGGCTTTGGTAACAATGGCTAACAACAAGGATGCCCAGTGGTGTTTCCCATGCTTACTAATGCACTTGTGAAAATTTTTCCTGTTGGACCTGTTCTGGACATGGCTTCTGGTCTCCACTCAGGCGTGCCAAGGGAGTAGGCTCTTGCAAACTGGAGTGTGATGATACTGCCTTGCCGAGCAAAGCAACCTGAGAAGTGGCTGCCTGCACTAGGTCTAGATTTCAATGTAAGCCTTTAGACACACACTGTAAATTTGACCCACCTTGTCCAGAAGAAGACAGGTGGGAAGAACTGACTATCCAAAATAAAAATGCTGTGGGTTTTAATCTCTTTCTGTTTTGTAACATTTGTTTTTTAGGAGTGCAATGGGATTTAAAAAATCTCTCAGAGTAGATGATCCTAGGCTCTTCTTTAAAACGTCTCTGCAAACTCCCTGTCCATGCAGTGCTGCTTGACTTACATTGTCCCTGCACTGGTTGGCAGAGGAAAACAATTTCTCCGAGGCAGGCTTTGAACAACCAGCTACATACCAAGTGCACTGAGTCAGTGCCAGTAAATTTGTAAGTCCTGAATCACCACTGAATCACCACTGAAGTGTCTCTTCAGAGACACTTCACTAGAATATATGTACCTCTTCAAGCGTGAAAGTTAAGTTCTTTTAATTACTCAGTGCCGGTGTTGACTTTAATTCAAGATTTTGTTTCATTCATCCCACCTGAGGCCATGTCTTTGCTGCAAAAGAAATCCTACCTTTTGCCTGGGCTGGCTATTCAGCATTAACATCTCCTAAGAACAAGGAGACTTCCCTGGAGAGGCTGCTAATTGAAGCAGTGAATCAGACCTGTTCCCTCTTCCTTTTCCAGCTGCATCAAGATATAAATTACAAGTGCTCATTATCTCAGTTACAATACTGCCCTTACAGTTTTAGGTTAAAAATGCTGAAAAATTATACAAGTGTTCCTTGTACTAAGGCGTGGACTCTGTGTATTTAAATCTGTTCCCTCTGTGCTTTTCTGCTGATCTTGCAGCTGTACCCCATTTTTGTGCAAACTGATCTTTTTATTTGCTTTCATAGGCAATCTCTCAACTGTTGAAAAGGACATTAAGTGAAAAATGTTTCAAATCTACATGAGATTGAAGGGCTTACTAATTACGCTGTTTTGTAAAGATTGTGGGAAGAAAAATAGGAACGTCTGTTAAAAACATTGAGAACTTTTTAGTTCTGACCTTTTTAACCTTTTCCAATTTGTCAATCCTTCAAGATTTTTTTCCACTGAACCACTGCTAATTGCAGTCTATGGACAATAGACTTGTGATTTGCCTCACAACTTTAGATGCAATCTGCAGATTACCCTGAAAACTACTGCTGTAATCTGTTCCATCAATAACTAAATAAACTGGATTTATGAAAAGGAATCAAGGCCCTGATGATACAAATTGGATCAAAAAGAGCTTTTTCAAATGCAGAGGCCTCTCTGCATCTCAGGCAACTCGCTGTGTCTGGCCTGTGTCAGTGGGGCACTATACTCTGATGACAAAGCCACTGATAAATCCAGTATGTTTCAGCTGTGTGTGCTTTGTTGGTGGATGTACATTTTTTTTCCTTGCTGTTGCATTTGCTGAGGGAGCATGATCTAACCCGAAAGCATGTGGAAATAAACCTGAAGTGGGCAAATGTGTGCATCATGCCAAACAACTGAAGTTAGACTGTTCCTAGTAAAACTTTGCTATTTTTTTTTCTCCTTCCCCCTACCCCAGGTTTTTGCTGAGCCCTCCATCAGTCTGTTCGCTCTGGAATACTGCAAGGGCAGAGAATTGCACTTCAGTGAACCCGTCAATTCTGTTTTGAATGAGGACCTTCATTTTTACACTCAGTCTGTATGGGTGAGAAGTGGATTGTAAGTATGGAAGAAATGTTATTGTCACTTTTGCATTATAAGAGCTAATACTGAGCATGCATTTTCTTCCAATTTCTGCCTTTTTTCATAGGGTGTGTTTTACATTCTAACTTTTATTTTGAGACAGTATAAAATCCTAAAATGCGGTTGAATGCTTTCACAAGTGCACTTTTTGTATCAGGGCCCAAAATTAAGAAAAACTCTGGGCAAAGAGAGTATTTCGCCCTGTAAGGACTGTCCTATCGTCCTTTTATCTCTATACAGAAATGAACAATAGAGCCTGTTGTTCAGGCCAGGAACCAAAAGTAAATAAGTTTTGATTGCTGACTTACAAAGACAGGTAGAGTAAACTCAGACTGCTTTTATTAACCCCTGTAAAATACCAGCTATAAACTGCAGTGATTTAACTTAAACCACGGAAGTGGTTCAGTGAAGCTTGACAGCGTGCTGATCAGCTGCCAAAAAGGCAGCAACTTCTGAGAGAAGCTCTGGGCGGATCTGACAGCTGGAACGGTAATTTGCTTCTGTTATTAGTTTAACCTCCTTCCCTGAGTGTAAATACACACCCAGGATCTTCTGTGAGAACTCATTTTCATCTGCAGAAGTGGCCTCCTAACCTCTTCTGCGTCTCCCCCTTTCACCTTTTGCAGAAACTCCCAAGTATTCTCTCTCAGCCAGGTTTTCAGCCTCCACATCCACAGCAGCAACAAATAACTTAAGAGACTCATCCTGCAACTGAGACTGACTGGAAACTGCTGTTGTTCTAATGTGACACACATCTCCTGCATTTATTTTTAACCTTTTCCCTACCTTTTTCACATAGACAAAGCTGTCATTTCCTTGAGAGATCTTATGGGATGACACAAAACTATGGAAAAATTTTAACTAATTGGGCAAGGAATTCATGTAGACTGTTCACAGCTTAGGTATATCTCTGTTGTGATTCTTATGATGAATTTTTCAAATGCATCTAGTCTGTTACTACCTAGAAGTCAAAACCCTTGTACGCCTGGCTATCTGTGATGACGTTGCTGAGCATTCCTCTGATTCTTTGAGGTTGGTACAAAGGCTAAGCCGAACCTAGCTAACGCTCCAGAGCACCATGGACTGTTTTCTCTCAGGAATTTCACACAAGTGTTTTCTTGAAGGGTTGGTTAATTTAAGAGCAGTCAGTGGTGATTGACTTCAGCTGTGAGCCCATAGTGAATATAAGCTTCCCCACAGAGCTTTGCCAGTTCACAATAAATTCTAGTCCCCAGCATCTGTGCCACTTCCATCCTGAGCCCTTGCTGAAAATATATAGAGGGAGAGATCATCTGCTGCTGTTGTCTTGAGGTGCCCCAGCTGAGAGTGGCAAGCAGCTGCCATTTCAGGCTGAGAAGAGCATACATGCTTTCCCCATGATATGTGCTAGTTTGGAGGAGGAAAAGCCTCCTTTGGGAGGAACACCTGACTTCTGGTGGGAGTGTGTAAATCTTCATACCTCTGTGGAGGTGTTACAGTCTAAAGTGTGTGCAGCTGGGGAACGTCTCTTAATGAGCTTTCTCTGCCCTCTCATCAGGGCTGTGGAGGTGGAAATTAAATCACTTTGCCCATGCAGTTGGCTGTAGAGGAAGAGGGGTGGCTTTAGGACCACATAGTAGAAAAGCATGGGAGAGTGAGTGCAACAGTCCAGCCCCATCTCCATCTTCCTGTTCATTTCTGCGTAACTGAGCCAGATCAGGTGGATCCCTGTCTCTGGGAAGGGTCAGGGCAGAATGGCTGGGCTTGCTCTGAGCTCCTTGTGATACTCGCTAGGAAACAGACCTCCACAGCCTGTCCCCATCCCACACTGCAGATGGGTACCCTAAAGGTTGAGGGTGGCACATGATTGTGGGAATTCTGTGGGATGTCCTAGAAGGTTTGTTGTCTTTATCTGCAAGCAAGAGTTCAGGAAGGCAGATTTACAGGGGTTTTTTTGCTCCTTGCCCCAAAGCCTGCTCCCAGCTTTAGACAAATGACAAAGATTTACGTAAATATACCAATGGTATCTTGCTGCGAGGCTTCGGTACAAGGATCCTCCCTGAGCCAACTGACCACCTCAGTCAGAAATGACCTGAGCCTGGACTGTGGCTTGGCAAAGGGGGCGGGGGGCTGAGGTACTCCAAGGTGTGGGAAAGATGGCACAGTGTAGGCTGCGGGTCTGTGTGAAAGCCACCATGAGTTTTGTCTGGGTTGCTGAATGCTAGAAGCCCAACATGGCTTCACGTGGTTATTACTGTAACAGTCTTTCCCCGTTTCCTGTAAATACCTGCTTTGAAACTGCATTGCAAATGAGACTGTTCAGTGCTCCAAGGGCACTGTTAACAGTGAATTCTCAGTGACTTGACAGAAAGCATAGCAAGAAAAGTCAGGAATGTGTCAGATGTGTAAGGAACACACAGTGGTGGTCAGGCTGCTCTGATACCTGTTTGTTAGTCAGCAGGTATGGGCTTAATTTGAATAAACTGTGACACAGCCTCATTACGAGGCAGTTCACAGTTGGTACACTTTAGCCTCCATGGAGTCCTGAGCGAGGCTGGCTGTTAATTTCTCCAAATTATATGCAATGGGGAAAAGAAAGTTACAGGTGCTCTGAGCCCTGTTTGTGGATGTTTTCTCACTGACTAGAGTGCAGCCATCCCTCATGTTCTTGGCAGCTGACCTGTAAAACAGGTAACATGGGGAAACCGGTACTTTCTTTGTGTTCAGATGAGTTAATGAGTGAAGCACTTAGGATTCACTGTCTGCACAACAGCGTCCTATTGTTACAAACAAAACTGATCTGTGATCCTGAGGCTGCCTTTGTACCAGCAACACAGTATTTACTCAGCAGATGCCTGGATAACAAGGGCTCTCTGTATGTGCTGGTGCTTTAACTCTGTGCTAAAGGATTCAGCCATGTCCATGGCTCAGATATATTGACTATAGGAAAGTCTGTTACAGCAATATATAGGTTTTGGAGTAAATATTTTGTGTTTTCAGACAAGTGGAATAGCTATAAAAAGCTTTAACAAAAGGAAACACTGGACAAGATCCTCTCATAATTAATATGTACAGCCAAGCAAAGCTGCAAGTAGTGCTGTCTGGTGTGTGTCTTCCTAGTTTCCTAATGCGTGCCCTCTGAAACATGCATTATTGCCATATGGGTTCATGCAGAGGTTCTCGTATTTGTGGGGGAAAAATGGGGGGGGGGTGGAGTAAGAGTTTACAAGTTTCAGGCAGACAAACAGAAAACTGGTCTTAATTTAGACAGAAAACAGTTAAACCACTTGAAATGGATGGCATTTTGTGGCATGGTGATAGAGATTTGATATTAGCACTACTATTGGAGAGGTTTGGGGCTTTCAAGAGCACAGTCCTGAACACAAGCCTATAGTTTAGTTTTGCTGTGGTTAATGTTTAGTCTTTCATGTTCCATTTTCTGTATCCAGGTGGATTGCATACGAGGGATGTAATTTTTTAGGAAAGCAGATTCTGCTGGAGCCCAGTGAGATTTCAAACTGGAGTGAACACAGTGGCTGGAAACTAATTGGCTCCCTTCGTCCTATGAAGCAGGTACTGTAAGGCTGTATGAGGACAGGGTTTTTTTTGGACAGGGATTAGTGCACAAGTATCATATCTACCACTAAGTATAATGGCGTGCATTGTACTCCTTAAATCAGGCCAAATGATGACAGCCAGAAGGACCCACTGGAAGATTACTGAAGCAGAAAATTCCTTTAGTGGCAGTTACTGAGATCTATATTAGGCTTTTAAAGGGAAATAATTCCTAGATTCTTGGAGCCAAGTTTTGTTTTTCTGAGTGGCTCATTAGCATGTTCTGTAGATGCTCTATTTTTACATTTCTGCCATATAACAATAATAATGAGAAAACCAATTGGTTTTGGCTTGTTTCATAATTAAAGTAAATGGAAGCAAGAGCAAATTTTACTGTGCTATAGCCTGGATTTCCAAAATAAGCAAAGTTTATTCAGTGCCACCAGGTTTTCCCTCTCTGGCTCACCCCAAGTAATGCCAATTTCAGTCTCATTCAAAGATTCAGGTCTCAAAACCACAAAGTTCTTAGGAGCTTTGTGAGAGATAGATAGAGAAGCAAGACTGAGATAAATGCCCGTCATTCAAGGAAAAGCAGGTACAGTTCTGCTTCTCTGCCTTTCCAAGATGCATCAGGTAACCACTGCCACACATAAGCTCCAAACCAGTCAAAGCACATTGTTGCCAAGTGCCCAGCCACACAGCTGTGGGAGCACAGCGTCATGAGGAGATAGGAAAAGGACAGGGGAGAGTGGCAGGGAATGGGAGCAGTAACTCCATTGGAAAAGAGTTTTTGTTTCAGAACAACTTCTTCCCACTTAGTGACAAACACTGCTTTATTTTTAAACACTAGATTCAACTGGAGAAATGTTGCAGTAGACAAAAATAATCATCTTTGACATTAGTTATGCATTATTGCCTATCACCAGAATTAGTTCTATAGACATAAATATGTTTTTAAAAAAAAATAATCTGCCATTGCTGCTTACAGCAGTCTGTCTGCATGTGGAGAACACTTACTGCTGCTTTACATGCACATTTGTTTCCAACAAAAAAATATTTAACATCCTCATCTGAAACTGGAAATGGAATGGATACTTTAGAAAACTGATGTAAGATGTAAGGGGATCTCACATTGACTTTCTAAATCTCTGTGTTCTAACTATCATCCTTCACACTATTTCAGCCAGCAGTGTACCTCAGAGTGAAGAACCGAGCCCAAGGTAAATATTTGACAGTCGCTGGAAGCCTATCAGATGTAAGAGCAACATCAGTGTGCGCGTCCCCATACAATGGCAAGAACACTCAGATCTGGCACTACTGTCGTGGCCTCTTCAAATCCAAGGTGAGTTTCCATATGCTGGGAAGTGGGTGGTTTATATCCCCCTGCTGTCCTTTCAGCTCACTTCTTGATTTTACTGCAGGCTAGCATTAACACCAGGATAGCTTTTGGCTTCTCCCATGCATGTTAAACCAAAACCCTTACAACCTACATCCTCCTCCTGTGTATAGACAGATTTGATCTGTCTGCTCTGGCAAAGTTGGACTGCTTTTCACATCTGTCTAAAGGCACTGTTCCCGGAAGTAGAAACCTGATTTTGTCTAAAGTCACAAGTTCAAGTTTATTACCTCTAAAAAGTTAAGAATTTCTCTGAAAAGTAATACGCGATGTAAGTGATTCTGTATTAATGCTGTCCTTCATAGACTGTTATTAATACAAAAAGCTGATGATGTAACACAAGAACCACCTGAAGTAACAAAGACCACCCACTCTTGCTCAAGCAGCTCGTCAGTTGCTGAATAATCTGTTCCTAGCTTGCTTGCCAGGCTCATTACCTACTATAGCATGATTACTACAATGTGCTCAGTGCCTGAAACAGAAACAAGTCAGACACAAACCCGAGGCTCTGTGGCCTGGATCTCACTCCTCCTCTTGTTCCTTAGGCTAACAATGCCTGTCTGGATGTCATTGGTGGCAGAGATGTGCCTGGGGCCAAAGTCGCGCTCTGGGCAGAACATGGGAAGGACAGGCAAAAGTGGAGACTCAATGAGGATGGAACCATCAGTTCATACCTCAGCAACAAATTGGTGCTTGATATTAAAGGTATTTAAAAAAAAAAAAAAAAAAAAAAAAACCAAAACAAAAAACTAAACCTCACATGTTCTAGGTGCATTTTCTGATTGCAGTTAATTGCCATATTCCAGCTCTTTTTGTACGTAAGGTTAAATGCTGAATCCTATCTTTACTGTTGTTAGATTTATGTCTAGTTGCTTGACAGTGGGACAAGAAACAACAGGGCAGGGGTGAACCTTTCTCTTTTGATCCCAGAGGTTTATTTTTATCAGGTCAACTGACTACTGAAGGGAGTTCAGCAGTACTGAGGGCAAGAAATGCAAGTTACAGCAGACAAAACGGTGAAGGAAAAGCAATCCGAGAATAGGTGTGGCTCAAAAAGAGAAAAGTGCTCACTCCTAATGTTTTCACACTGGTTAAAATTGTCATTGCTCAAGTCCTAGTCCTTCTAATTTATCCATCATGGTGGAAATAATCACATTCGAGAAAAGCCTGTTCCTCACACAAAATTTGTTCGAGCCCTGCTGCTGGCACTAGGGTTTTATCCCTACAGAAAGGCAGCGGGGCAGTGACTGCAGTGGCTGGTTAGATGAAAGGTCTAAGTAAATTAATGGATAGCCTAACACCCCTGCAGGGCTTGCAGAGCAAGGGTAACAACAGCACATCGTGAAGTCATCAACCTTTTCAGTGACTGTCCTCCTGGCTGTTACACATCTGACCTCTGCAGCTCACACGTACTGATAATGAATTCTCAGCCCCCCGAAGTTGAACTAGCAGAGCATTCCTGGCTTCCAGAACTAAGGCGTTTAAATAGCCATTAGGTGCAACTGGTAGTACTAATGGGAACTCTTACAGTATCAGAAAGCTGCGCTGCCTAGGTTATTGCTAAATATAATGCTGAAGGCTGGGGTGGCAAGATACCACTTGATAGCTCTTTAGAACACCGCTTGTAGTGGATTTTTATTTGTGGTATAATGATAAAATATGCACTGTCATTTCTATGCCACATGTATTCAAAGGAGATAAATTTTATTTTAAGGACTTCCTAAGTTTGTAGTTGAAATGGATTTGCTACACCAAATAATCTCACATGTATGTGTGAACCTGTGTATTTCAGCTGTAGCAATATGCGCCTTAAAAATCCAGGTATAGGGCGGGAGTTCAGGATCTGCCAAAAAAGCAAAATCTGTTTAGAGGTGCTGTTTCTGTGCACAAAGGTATATTTGATGACTCTGGTTTATGGTATATTCTGCTTCCTGACTAACAGAGCTCCTCCTCAGGGCCTAAGCTGACGAGTGACTGTTGGAAGGAGACAAACATACAGAGGCAGAGGGGCAGACAGCAGGCCCCTACCTCATGAGATTTCTGTTTTTCAGCTGATTTTCCTACATAGTCACACTTTTTAAAGATTATGCATAGACTGTTCTAAGCATTTCTTTTTAAAAATTTTCCTTCATTATTTTGTTTTGTTTTTAAGGAGGAAATTATTATGACAAGAATCACATCATTATGAATCAGCTGACAGATGACAAACAATCACAAAAATGGGATATTGAAATACTGTGAGTAAAACCCACCACACAGATGGACCTTGTGTGGCTTATTACCACCTAGAGGGGAAGGAAAAAAAAAAAACACACTACTGAAGTCACACCACTGGAACCTTAAGCAGAAACTCCTCTCTACTTTCCTTCATACCAAGCACCAACTCCTAAAACTGAATTTTGCACAAATCTGGAAGATGGGAGGTTGATCTAATACCTTTCTGCAGGAAAGGCAATTTTTTAGAGGCCGCTGCAATGAAAGTCACTTTTATTTCTTCATCTTGAGTATTAAAAGTAAATGCAAAAGACTAGACATAAGCTTTGCTGGATATGAACTGCAAGAGATACTATGGAAAGGGTTCTTTAGAAATGTTGTCTTTACCTTCCTCTCAAACTGATGGAAGCTCAGTGAAGAATTAATGCACTAATGAGCTTGAAAGAGGTTGAGTTGGACTTTTATGCCCTGAGTGAAACTGTGTAGGCTCCAAGCGATCCCGAAGCTCAGATCATCTCTCTTGCTAAAATGCAATTTATTTTGTTTATAAAGACAACTTTGAACTGGAACTACTGCCTCAGCATGTGAAATGAGGCAGTAGAAAGAAAACCGACTTTCACCTTGCCTAATGTTACTGGTAGGCTTTTGTCTTCATTTGTTTTAACAATACCAAATTTCCAGGTTCAGGAACTGGTTTTGCTGACCCATGGCCTGTTTCCAACCCATGAAATTGTGACCAAGTTATCACTGAAGATCACCTTTAACATGGAGCCATATGTGCATGTATCAAAAGAGAACAAACAGTCCTGGGTCAGGCTAGACTTCTACAAGGGCTGGCTGCATTTAGAGCAGTAATGATTTTAACTCAAGCTGTATTTTGGTTTGATGTATATAGATTAATTTAATACAATGTAATTTGTTCTTGAAATCACGTCTTCCTTCAGAAAATAATTCACCCTAGTATATATTTTCAAAGGTGCTAGCAGCCTGCATTTCATTGCTTGCGTAATGTTAAAAGAACAGCGTAACTGCATTTAACGTGTTCCTGTGGCTCATCAACACCACGTAGCTCTTATCCCAAAGGAGGAGGACTTGGAGTAATGGTCCAGACCTTGGCATGCTGGTGTGTTCCTCCATTTCAGCACTATGCAACCAGCCTGCTAGCCATCACTTGAGACAGAGAGATCCAAATACTTTATTGGACTGCAGTTGTCGGAGGCTTGAAAAGCACATTCCTCATGCTACACTGACAAATGCAGAAGGAACTGCAGACAGTTGTAGGGCTGTGAACACCTGACGTGGAAGAGAAAGTCCCTTAGATAACTGGTAACTTCATTTGATTTCAGCATCACTATATAATCTATTTCATTGAAAATGTAATATTTTTCCTTATTTGTATATTCAGGGTATGTTTTCCTATAACTATTTAAAGAGGAGTCTAGGTTAGCTAAAGACAGATATTTTAATTTCCAAAAGCTGTAACTGTCCCAGTTGTGCACTCAAAAAGGATTCATTCCCAAACAAGTAAAAACATATAACCCTAAATCTGCCACAGAAATAAAATATATGGATGTCTATTTTTGTATTAATGGAGTTCTATATAGTACTATTTAAAAAAAAAAAACAACCTATCCACTTGCACTTACTATTTTACATTCTAAAATAATCATAAATTTGCTGTTTAAGTAACAGATCTTGAAATGTATGTATATATTTTTCCAAGGGAAGCACTTGTTTAGCTTTTTCTATGTAACTAAGTCGGTATATCAAGTGTTCTACATGTGACTTGCTTTTCCATATGAAATTTTAAAAGCCTGTGTAAAAAGTTCTAGTCTTTTAAACCAAGCATAACTAACTCACATTTGGTGTATCCATGTTATGTAACAAAGCAAAGCAGGCTTTTGTACTTAAGAGATCTTGAATGTAAAATGATAAGCATGTATATTTTAATTGTATAAAACTTTTTTTTAGGAGGAATGTTTTGCTTGTTGGTTTCTTTTTAAACAAATGGAAGTTGTTAGAGATGTCAAGCACACTTCAGTAAAATATTTCCTTTCAAATGGAGAGAAAAGGGATAAGTATTGGAATAGGTGACTGTGCTGTTATGTTAGTTTGCATATTAAACATTGATGTTCAGGTATTAAAATAACTGCACTACTCCCATCAACACCCACTTAAGTGAGCACTAAGACACAAGATTCCAGTTACAGGTTTGTGCTACTTTCACGTTAAATTGGTGCTGGGGGAGGTAGAGGTTAAATAGTATTGATTGTTCCAGGGGTGGCAGCATCTGAGGGCAAAGTCTTATCCCTTTGGGAAACACCATACATAGCTTTTATTGAGAAGCTTTTGTTCTTTGTCACAGACTGTAGTGATAGGATGAGGGGTAACTGTTTTAAGCTGAAAGAGAGTACATTTAGATTAGATATGAGGATGAAATTTTTCACTGTGAGGGTGGTGAGGCACTGGAACAGGTTGCCCGGGGAAGTTGTGGATGCCTCATCCCTGGAGGTGTTCAAGGCCAGGCTGGATAAGGCTTTGAGCAACATGGTCTAGTGGGAGGTGTCCCTGCCCATCTGTCCCTTCCAACCCAAACCACTCTATGATTCTCTGGGGGCAAACAAACAGAAAAACAGGTTTTCTTGCTGGTGAACTTTACAAATTAAAAAAAGAAGTTACTGGTTTTTGCCAAAGGTCCTGGAGCTCCATGTATGCCTTTAGATGTCCTCCACATCAAGGCATCTATTCAGAGGAAAGGGGATAGCACAACACAGGTGTTACTGTGATTTCATCCACCCACAGCCATGGAGCTGTGGCTCACTGGACAATGAGCAGCTTCCCTGTTTTTTCCCCGATGCCCATTTTCCCAAAGCTACAGGGAAAAAAAAAAATAATATTTGGCACTAGAAAGTAGTAAAGTATATATATGCAATGCTTTCTTAGACAGCAATACAAACCAAAGGCTGGATGGATAAAAACATAATTTAATAAGCCTTTCTCTCAAGAGATTCTCAGGGCCTAGAACTAATACTTACAGGAGCAACTAATTCACAGAATCATCAAATAACTTCAATTAGACATTCAGTCCATAGCGACAAGGCAAGGTTTTCTTTCTCTTGATCTGAGATAAGGTTAAGCTCTTTAACATTAACAGTGCCACTACTCCAGATCTGCTTCAGTGCATCCAAGTATGACAAAGGAAACCGCAGTCCATGAGCCTGCTGGGAGGGGGAGGAAAAAAAAAATAAAAATGTGTCCTTCAGCTAAGCAGCATCCCTTATTACACAATAGTGTGTTAGGCTGTAGGCACTGCTCAGCAGGTATGTGCTCCTTTCCACCCATCACACTGATACTTCTGAGAGCATCCTCCAAAAGATGCAATATTATTCTGTCACCTTTCTTAATAGAAAAAACAGCTGAAATCCCTTACCCTTATGAGAATGAGATAACTTTAAATTTACACTTTTGCCTAACCCTAACCGTTTTTTTGGGGGGTTTTTTTGGAAGCTCATGTAAGTTTCTTTCTATCTGGCACATGCAGTCTTTGGACATAGTTTGACAGAACCACAGAGGACCTCCGTTACCATTGCTGGAGTCTTTAAGGGTAGGAAGGTATATTCTGGGATTTGCACATATTGTACAGATGCCAGTGTACAACCTCAGCTACCCATACTCTCCACTCTAGAGAACCAGTGAGATTTACCTTAAAAGGTAAGTAACTGCCAGGCAAAAAGCCTTGCTGGAATTACTGAGACAAGAACAGGCTGTGTTCTGCTTTGCCTCTATGATGTATTCTTGCAGACCTGTATTCAGACCTAAGATGGAGCATCTTTCTTACTATCATACAGTGGAACAAAAAGTTCCGAAGTCACAGCCACGTTTCAGGAGTATTTATGATTCAAGTGAAAGCACACTGTACGTGCTGAGTAAGAATGGAGACAAACTATCTGCAGCCTTCAGAACAATATAAAAAACTTCCCTCCTTACATTTCAATAAAAGAGTTAACTCTTTACTCCCAGTGTTGACCTACCCCACCCTAAAATGGAACACCCATTATCTTGCGGTATGTTCCAGTAGATACAGAATCTAACACGGGTTCAATGTGGCATAAACATGGTGCATGAGGCGCAGTGATCCCTGCTACTACTGAACATGTGCTCACATATCCAGTAGCCTTAATAAAGGATGTGCTAAAGGACACAGAAGTAAGAGACACTTCTAGCCACTCCAGTAGCTTTGCTAGGTAGGACATAAGTCATGTGCAAGAAATCCTGTTAACACCTCAAACATTTAAGTAAGCATGAGATTACATGACATAGTTCTACTACCGACTGTCTCTGTGTTGCAGCCTTAGCTCATCTGGGTACTTGGGGGATGTGCAGAAATCCTTTGGGTGCTGAGGAATACAGCAGAACCCAGGCCTCTGCTACCAACTCAGTCAAGCTCATCTAATGCAGCCAAACCCAACATGGCAATGTAGCTTCTGTTGTGTATTTGTGGGAACAAACAAACCTGTGATGTGCCTTCCTCACTAGCAGTATCATCTTCTGTCCCCATCATGTGAGTTTCTCTCCTGTTCTTTAAAGAATGATACACATAAATCATGTCTCTGCGAATTTCATCCTAAAAAACAGGAAGAAAATTGTTACATATGATCCACACCCTCAAATTTATCTCACTCAAGCAACAATGTGAGCTCCTTAATTCTGGAGTCCACTGTTACATCATGAAAGCAATTCACCTTCCTAACTGAATGATCCAACAGCCATCTACTGCAGCAATAAGGGAATCTCCAAAACATCTTTGAAAATTTATTTACAACCCATAATCTTCTGCCTTAATACTGCCTCTACCAGACTCACAGGACTCATGCTGTATAGGAAACAGGCCATTTAAGGTACACCTCATAGAAGGACTTAATGAAAGAGTGCACATCAATAAATTCCATCCTGACACTGATCTGTCTCTTACAAATCATAAGCCTGTTATCATTCCTTGGTGAAAGCTGTGCAACTCAACTGAGAGCTCTGTGGGCAGGTCTCACACCAAATTTGTGGATACAAGTCTTGCAT